GTCAATTTTATTGATCTTTTCAAAGAACTAATTTTTTGTTTCATTGATTTTTAAAATTTCTATTGTGTTTTTATTTTCTAGTTTATTTATTTCCACTCTAATCTTTTTTGGTTTTTTTTCCTTCTGCTTGTTTTAGGTTTAAAATGCTTTTCTTTTTCTAATGTCTTAAAGTTGAAGGTTAGGTTATTGATTTGATATCTTTCTGGATTTTTAATGTAAACATTTGCAGTTATAAATTTCTCTCTTAAGTGCATCCAGTAAGTTTCAGTATGTTTTTTTTTCGTTTTCAATCATCTCAAAGTATTTTCTAATTTTCCTTATGACTGTTTTTTTGACTGACATTGGTTCTTTGGGAATGTGTTGTTTAATTTGTACATATTTGTGAATTTCCCAAATTTTCTTCTGTTATCAATTTATAATTTCATTGCATTGTTGTCAGGGAACATACTTCATATGACTTCAGTCCATTTACACTTATTGAGATCAGTTTTATTGCCTAACATATGGTCTGTTCTAGAAAATGTCCTACGTACATTTGAGAAGAATGTGTATTCTGTTTTGGAGTTGAGTGTTCTATAGATGTCTATTAAGTTTAGTAGTTTTATAGTCTTATTCAAGTCTTCTGTTTTCTCATTGGTTTTCTATCTACTTCTTTTATTCATTATTGAAAATGGGACATTGAAATGTCTATTATTTTTGAATTGTCTGTTTCTTGTTTCAAGTCTATCATTTTTTTCTTCAGATATTTTAAGACTCTGTTGTTAGGCACATACATGTCTATAATTACTATATCTTGTTGGTGAGTTGGCCATTTTTTCGTTATAAATGTCCTTCTTTGTCTCAAATAACAATTTTTACATTATATTCTATTTTGTCTGCTATTAGTATAGCCACTCCGTGTCTCTTTTGGCTGCGGTTTACATAGTATATTTTTTCTGTCTTTTTGCTTTCAGCCTATTTTGTCTTTGAATCTAAAGTGTGTCTGAGGCCAGCCTGGTGGTGCAGTGGTTAAGTTAGGCACACTCTGCTTTGGCAGCCCGGGGTTCACAGGTTCAGATCCCAGTTGTGGATCTACACCACTCATCAAGTCATGCTGTGGTGGTGTCCCACATACAAAAATAGAGGAAGACAGGCACAGATGTTAGCTCAGGGCCACTCTTCCTCAAGCAAAAAGAGGAAGATTGGCAACAGGTGTTTGCTCAGGGCCAATCTTCCTCACCAAAAAAAAAATAAAAGTAAAGTGTGTCTGTATACAGCATATAGTTGGATCATGTTTTTTTAATCTATTCTGCTAATCTCAGCCTTTTTACTGGTTCGTTCATTCCACTTATATTTACTGTAATTACACATAAGGTAGGATTACATCTGCCATTTTAAATTTGTGTTATGTCTTTTTTGTTCCTTTTTTTGTTTCATTATTCCTCCATTCCTGCTGTCTTTTGTGTTAAATAGATATTTTCTAGTGTGCCATTTTAATTTCCTTATTTCTTTTGCTATTTTTTAAAATTTATTTTTTAGTGGTTGACTTGGGGATTAAAATTAACTTCTCAACTTAAAACAGTGTGGTTTGGGTAATACCAACTTAATTACAGTGGTATACAAACGCTTTTATATAACTCCATACCTCCCCTTTCCTTTGTGCTATTATTATTATACTAAGTATAATATATTGTATGCCCAGCAACACACTTATTATTGCTTTATGAAATTTCTTTAAACCTGTGTATTAGTTCCCTGTTGCTGCTTGTGTGGAAAAGAGTTAACATAGCAGGCTCACTGCTTGTCCTTAGAATGAACTGTTTATGAGGTCTACCCTTGGCTGGCACCTGAGAACTTGGATTTCAGGAAGATTCTCATCTGCCTGACTGATAAGAATGGTACACTGTGCCTAAACTGCTTTCACAAAGAATATAGTTTATGCTGAATACTGTTTTTTCTGGGAGTCTGGAATTTTGGTATGTGCTAGGCAGAGGGTGCCTATCTGCTCAGCCCCTAATAAAAACCCTGAGTGCTGAGTCTCTAATGATCTTTCCTGGTTGGTGACATTTCATATGTGTTGTCGTAACTCATTGCTGGGGGGAATTAAGTGTGTCCTAGGTGACTCTACTAAAGATCCTTAGGAGTTTGCTTCTGGCTTCCCCTGACTTTGTCCCATGTGCCTTTTCCCTTTGCTGATTTTGCTTTGTATTCTTTCACCATAATAAATTATAGCTGTCAGTGACTATATTGCTGAGTCCTGTGAGTCCTCTAGCACGTTATTAAACAAATCTTGAATACTCCCTACCTACTGCTATTACCACAAATTTGGTGGCTTAAACAACATAAGCTTGTTATCTTAAAGTTTTGGAAGTCAGAAGTCTGAAATGAGTTTTATTGGGCTAAAATAAAGGTGTCAGCATGGCTATGTTCCTCTAGGCTCTAGGGGAGAATCCATTTTCTTGCCTTTTCCACCTTCTAGCAGCTGCCTGCATTCATTGGCTCATGGCCACCTCTTTCCATCTTCAAAGCCAACAATGACTGGTCAAGCCTTTCTTATGCAGCATTGCTTTGACACTCGCTTTCCTGCTTGTTCCTTTCATTTATAAGGACCCCTGTGATTATGTTGGGCCTAGCCAAATAATCCAGGATAATCTTCCCATCTTAAATTTCTTGATTTATCATATCTGCAAAGTCCCTTTTGCCATGTAAGGTAATATATATGCAAAAGTTCTAGGAATTGGGATGTGGACATCTTTGTGATGGACCATTTTTGTACCTACCAAGTTAGATAGGAGAAATAAAGAGCTAGAAAGAAAAAATACATTTATGTTGTCTTTTATCTTTACTTACATAATCATCCTTACTGGTGCTTTTTCTGCATGTGGATTGGATTTACTGTCCAGTGTCCTTTCATTTCAGCCTGAAGGACTTATTCTGTATTTCGTGTAGTGTTAAGTTGGGTTGTGACGAATTCTCTGTGTTGGTTTATCTAGGAATGTCTTAATTTTGTCTTCAGTTTTGCAGGATGGTTTTGCTGGATTGATTTCTTGGTTGACAGTCTTTTTCTTTCAGCACTTTGAATATGTCATCCCTCTGCCTTCTGGCCTCCTAGGTTACCAATGGGAAATCAGTTAGCATCCCTTGTACCTTCTGAGTTCCTTCTCTCTTGCTGCTCTCAAGATTTTGTCTTGCAACAGTTTACTTATGATGTGTCTAGGTGTGGATCACTTTGATTTTATTCTATTTGGAGTTTTTTGAGCTTCTTGGTTATGCAGATTGTTTTTCACCAAATTTGGGTAGTTTCTGGCCATTATTTCTTGAAATATTCTTTCTGCCCTTTCTTTTTCTCCTCTTCTCTTGAGACTCCCATTATGCATTTGTTGGTGTGCTTGATGGTTTCAGTTGTTGTACTTTCTAACTCCAAAATTTCTATCTGGTTCCTTTTTATATTTTCTGTTTCTTTACTGATACTGTTTGATGAGACATCATTCTCATACGTTCTTTAGTTCTTTAGACATGGCTTCTTTAGTTCTTTGAACATATCTAAAATAGCTGATTTAATGTCTTTATCTAGTTAGTTCAACATTTGGGCTTCCTCAGAGTCAGTTTCTGTTGATTGCTTTTTCTCTGTCTATGGACCATACTGTCTTTGTACGTCTCATAATTTTTTCTTAAAAATGGACATTTTAAATATTGTAACACCTCTGGAAATCAGATTCTTCTCCTTCCCCAGTGTTTTTTGTTTATCATTCTTATTTGTTATTGACTTTCTGGAACTGATTTTTTAAAGTCTGTATTCTTTGTTCTGTGTGGTCGTCGAAGACTGGTCAGTTAGTTTAGTTGTCAGCTAATGATTAGACAGAGATTTCCTTAGATGCCCGGAACCAGTAAGTCTCACAGTCTTTTTTGAGAGGTTCTCTCTGTACTTGCTGGAGCTGGCCTTTGTCATTTTCCCAGGCATTTACAACTCCACCTTAGCCTTCACTTACTGCTGCACAGAACCTCAAGGTGAAAGCCTAGGGCCTTCTTAGGCCTTTCTTGAGTATGCAACAGCTCTGGGCATTTGTGTGACTTCTGGATTCTCAGGAATCTGTTGGAACTTTTCAAAGCTGCCTATTGACAAACTAAAAGAATTTTTCATCTCATTCCTCAGCTTTTCTAAAAAAAATTTTTTTATTAATCTATTGTTTGTCCTAACTGCTCTCCCTTTCCTCAGACAGTTGAGATGTGCAATAGTTGCCCCTGATTGATTTCAACAAATGCCCCAAGCTCTTTGCACTGGAAGAGCTTTGAGTCAGGTTAAATAAAGCCAGTCTTTCAAGAGAAGTCTACCAGCCAACCACTAAACAGGTCAAATAATGATTTTTTGGGGGAATCAGACTTTAAAGGTATTCCCATCCTATTCTGGCCTCTCCAGTGGCTGCCAGGCTGTTCATTTTCACCGTGACTGTGGGCTGTTGGTTTACATTGCAGAGGGTAGGGGGATAGGAATAGGGAAGGTCAGAATTACCACAAGGCTCTCTTTTTACCGAGATTCTTAAATGCTGCCCAGATTGCTGTAAGCCTTTGATTAATTCCAGAGTCCTGAAAAAGTTGATTCTGACAATTTTTTCTTTTATGGAGGAGAGATTTTTTTGTAGGTCTTTACTATTTTTGTTGATGTCCTCCCTTTTGTCTGAAACATGACCTTTTCTACTCATCTTTATATCTGCCATTGCCCTGTAGGAATTTAAGTTTATTAGATTAACTTTTAGGATTTTTGACTCTCAAAAATTCTGTTTTTTTTCTAGCTTAGACAGAAGCCTGAAAAATACTGAAATTAAATTTGATATAAAATAATACTGATCTTTAGTTCATTCTCAATAATTGAGTATCTGGGAAAAAGAAAGCACCTCTCCCCAGCAAAATTTGTAAAGTATTAATATTGTATATTTCTCATTAGTGTTATTTAAACTGACTTTTCTTTTTGTGACTGCCTCTTCTTCTTATTATTATTAACATGTTCGTCTTTTTACCTCCTAAGGCAGTAAAGAATGCTGATGGCAGAACCGTTTCCCTAATTTTCAGGTTGTCAAGTTGGTTGCCATAATGGGTGAGTTCAAACTAAAAGCATTTTTTGTCTATAATTAAAGGAAAAAATGGGAGAAAAAATTTTTCTCTGTGTGTATGATAAACTTTTTTATAAAGAAATTTTATGATGTAGTAGATTTAAGTAATTTTTATATTTACTTAATAGATTTTCAATTAAAGCACTTTTTGTGTTAACTGTTTTGGAATGACCATTTTATGCAGGACATAGTAGGGACATATTCAAAATAAATTGTTAAGATGGATTGTTATTTTCTTAGAGCCTGTTGGCCAAAGAGAATACTTGATAAAGAAACCTGACTTTTAAAGGTTGAATAAATGCCGAGGAGTGATTGTTATAATGACCCAACAGTGTTATAATATAGATAGACTGAAGAAAATAGCAGCATTAAAATAATAAATCATAAAATTTTATAACAGACTAGAGCCACATATCATTGGTGCTAAGGGAGGATATGTTGTACAACGCTTGTGAATATCCTGTGGTATCATCATGTTAATGGAAAGGGAGGCTCAAGTATGGGAATGCATTGTGGGTGTTCAGTTTACATATCATTTCGTTTTCTTCTTTACTTCCTTTTCTTTTTTTTCCTTTTCTTCTTGGGGTTGAGGGTTCCAATATGTGGCAGGGATTGGACAGGGAAACACTAGAAAGAAATGGAGCAAATGACCTCCTCTATCCTACATGGGGAAAAATGGACTGAGTAGTTGGAAGCTAAGTTGTTTAAATTAGACTCATCCTGATATCTTAACTCTGGCACATAATTGCCATTATTTGTCTTTGCACGCTTTTCCAACCACTTGCTTAACAAATGTATTGTTGACTCTTATATGTGTATATATGACATTATAGGCCAAAGAGCTTAAATTTGTCCATGTTCTTTAGTGGAAGGGCTAGCACACTTGCGTGTGTCTACTTGTGGCAAATGTGTAAGCCAAAGCTCCACCTTCCTACTTTTTAAATTTCTCCTCTTCTTTCTCTTTTTGTAACCATGAGTGCAGTGCCATCATGTGGTCCAAATTCTCCACTCTTGTCAGCTTCACTTTCAGTTCTAAATTGGGTATCCTTTTACTGAACTTGTATCAACTTCATTTTGGTTGCTTTCACTTATGGTCTGAGCTGTGTATTAAACCAATTGATTTCTACTGTACTTCTCGAATAGTACTTCACTAAGCAACAAAGCAAAGAACAGTTAATTGCTTAAAAACATGTACAAAGGTGGTCACAGAAAACCATGAATATTTAAAAGTGTGAATCACAGATGTTTGAATTTTTGATTGAGGATGTTCTCAAGTATAATGAATAAGCATGTAAAGTATCTAATTAACCATTTCTGATAAAAGATTTTATTTGAAATTATTTCCCAAGTATTTTCTGTTTTTGTCCTCAGCTATGTCAGAAACCCACTGCTTCTTCAGTGTGAGTTGGTCAGACTCTGGGATCCTCTGGGCATCTCACTACCTTTTGGATCAACTCATGATCTTTATGTCATTTAACCTGTCTAATCTGCCTAGTACCTGTGACCACCACAGAGATTTTTTTTTTTTTTTTTTAAAGATTTTATTTATTTATTTTTTCCCCCCCAAAGCCCCAGTAGATAGTCGTATGTCATAGCTGCACATCCTTCTAGTTGCTGTATGTGGGACACGGCCTCAGCATGGCCGGAGAAGCGGTGCGTCGGTGCGTGCCTGGGATCCGAACCCGGGTCGCCAGCAGCGGAGCGCGCGCACTTAACCGCTAAGCCACGGCGCCGGCCCGCACAGAGATTTTTAATAGAGGAAACAGTCTAAGAATTGTTAAAACAGTGCTGATAGTGTATGTTCATTACTCTGCTTGAACTTTTATGGATTTGTTAGCTTGCATCTTGTCAGTCTCCTCTAAGTTTCCTATTGGGTAGTTATCTACCATGTGATTCTTCTTCAAGCCGGGAAAAGAAGGAGCTCTGTTAAATTGCCCTTCATTTGTATGTCATCTCCTTAAGAAGTTACTTTTATCCAAATGGCCCTCTTTACTTTTTCACATCTATGATAAAAAACTACTCATTTTTTTAAAGAAGGAAATTAGTATGTGTAAATGTGATAAGAGATTTAAACCAAAGCATTCCCAGGCATTTTATTTATTTTAGTATTGTGATATTAAACATGTGAAAATGCCTAAATTCAAGTGTTTAAGTTTTTTCTAATGAAGAAAATAATTAGAAAATAAATACGTTTAAGTATTAGAGTTCTTCTCTCCCCTGTATAGAATTAAGGATCTTACCTTTCTCAAGAAAGTTACATCAGATAATTTTATTCCAGTTGAGATTATTCTCAGCTTATTCTTTTCCTAAGGGAAGATGTATTTTTATCAATAAATGACATAGTCTGGCTTGCACCCATGGACAGTACACATGTTGTAATTACATTATACCCGACTGGTTGGTTCAGTTACTCTTTGGCTAAGCTGATATAATGATGAAATTTTACTTTACACAGGATACTTTATGAAGGATTATAAACATTTCTCTAAACATGGAATTTATTAATAAAACCTTTGGAGCCATTAATTTTAATTTTAACATGCAAATTGTTTCACAATAGAACAATATATTGAGTGATATAAAAAATTAATACACATTAGAGAAGTCAGCTATCTGTGTATTTGAAAGACTGACAAAGCCATTGAATTATCACATTCTTTTTAATGATTTCCCCTTGCAGGATAAAGCATGTTTTAATTATTACTATTCTAGAACATAAATTATTGCTCACCAAAATGGTTACATTTTAAAATGTAAGCTGTAAAGTCCCTCAATTCTTTTCTATACCAATTGTTGATTTTCATTAGTAGAATTGATTTGCTAGTGAAAATCAATTAAATTGTTCCTGAAGTTTTCCAGAGAGCATATAATTGGCATTACTAGGAGGCTCATGCTTATGATCTTAGAAAGAAATCTTTGATATATTTGGAAGAGATTAAAAGTTCATAGTTCATGATCCTTTCACTCAGTTTTATGGATTCAGTACTTTGAATGGATTTTTCTTGCATTGTTATCTTTTAAATTGTTACTGGCTGAGATCATTAAATAGTCTGTTAAATGTTTGTAGTCATGTTGAACCTTATGGTGAAGAAGTTCAAGAAAACACTTCCAAATATCAGTAGGCCATTATCCACAGATAAAGCTTTTCTTTGTTTTTGACTGGAAGTACTGATAAAAGAGAAACACTCTAAAAGGATTCTGTACTTTGAACATAAATGGTAAATCATGATGGTATGATAGAAAGTTGTTTATTTTTTCCCCACTTGTTTTAATTAAAATTTTATATGTCTTGTTGATACTTTGCTTAGGAGTCATAGAAAAGAATTTGTCATTAGTGGGGCTGTTTTGACCCATATCCTAAGATGTTACATCATTAGAGGAGTCAGAATGACTTCTTCTTGCCTATAAATGTCTCATGTGTGGACACCTCGTATGATGCAAGTGCTTGGAGTCTAGTGCAATTTTAATGTTACTTGTCTTCAGTTTTTAAATACTTAAAATTTTATTTCACCAAAATAATAGAAGTGTAGATATTGAGAATGTTCTAGATGTATTTTTGCATTAAATTTCATTATAAATTTTGTGTTTGTGTGTGATAAATACATATTGAAATTACACTTCTGTGTATATGTGATTTTAAAACTATGTAGATGATCAGCAAGCTTTGAACTCAATCATGCAAGATTTGGCTGTTCTTCATAAGGCCAGTCGACCAGCATTATCCTTACAGGAAACCAGAAAAACAAAAGCTTCATCACCAAAAAAGCAGGTATTTATTTCAGTAATATTTTAATAAATATATATTGTTTTGTGAATTATTTTCCTTGAATATTGTGATCTTACGGAGGGTTTGTTTCAAGTGTTTAGCTTTTACACTTTTGAATCAAATATTTTGTTATTTGTCATACATTTTTCCATAAGGACATATGTTTTTGAAAAATGGTAGAGTTTTATTTAATATGGTAACTGCTCTCTAAAGCTGGTATTTCATCCATTCTTAAAGCACTTAAGATAAGCAAATTATTTTTATTTAAATAATCTGTTATTCTGTATATAAATGAGAATCATTTTGATTCTTATAAATAAGATTTGTTTGAGATGTCCAATATTAAAACTGGAAATATAGTATTCTATATTTCTCTCTAACAAGATTATCAAATGTCCTATACCCATGATGCCATCACTGGTAGATCTTGGTGCTGTTTCCTCTTGAGCCAGATTCAGCAACTTGGTTCTCGTTTCAGCTCTTTGGCAGACACTATCAATCAATTGGAGTTGACACTGAAAATGAAACCTCCCTCCCCCTCTGCTCTATTTTAAATGAGTGACTAAGAAAAAAATGATTTAGAAATTCTGGAAATTTTATCTGATCTCTGAAATGATTTATCATTTCATTACAGAATGATGTCCGAGTCAAATTTGAACATAGAGGAGAAAAAAGGTAAGGAAAGAAACACTACATGGCAGTTTATTGTTTTAATCAAATGCGTGTTCCTAGTTAAAGCCATTAGAGGTTCTTTCTAGATTTTAATGAAGGTTCATTTTGAGAATGGAATAATAATCGTTGGTATTGTGTAACATGTACTTAGACTTAAGGTAGAATGTGTCAAAATTCAGGCTAAACTTTAGAAATTATTAATGTTTTTACTTTGCAATATTAGGAAATAAGATCATTGCATAATGCAGCCTTTAAATATTACCATTTTATTTTACTTTTACTCAGTGCAGATTAAATATATTTCTCCTTATCATAATTGTACCATCCCTTCAGATACTATACAGAATTTATGTATATGGACTACAACATTCACAGTTTTGATTATTCTCAAGACACCTCAATCATATGACATGTATTTAATTAGTAACATTGAGGAAGGTGAGTTGGAATGGTGGGTCTAAATTATTTAGCAGAGGTGTAAGCCTAGCCTTCCATTGGATATCTGTATCTCAGTGCAGTGGTGAAAGTGGTGGTGGTGGTGGTTGACATCAAAATTGCCAGCAAGGCCTAACAGTTAGAGAAGATAGGATTTCATTTCTGTTATTAGTGTCTCATTAAATTAACTTAATGAGGGCAGGCTCCATGGCTTAGCGGTTAAGTGCACGCTCTCCGCTGCTGGCGGCTTGGGTTCGGATCCCGGGCACGCACCGAGGCACTGCTTCTCCGGCCATGCTGAGGCCGCGTCCCACATACAGCAACTAGAAGGATGTGCACCTATGACGCACAACTATCTACTAGGGCTTTGGGGGGAAAAAATGGAGGAGGATTGGCAATAGATGTTAGCTCAGAGCCCGTCTTCCTCAGCAAAATGAGGAGGATTAGCATGGATGTTAGCTCAGGGCTGATCTTCCTCACAAAAAAAAAAAAAAGGAAAAAAAGAAAAAAAAATAATTTAATGAAAGATCTGTCCTTTTTAAGGACTTTTAAAAAGGTTCATAAGTCATATAACCTTATACAGAGATGTTAAAAAAAAATGATATATACCAGATATACCATACAAGTGTTATCCAATCTACTTTTTTCCTAATTACAATTCTTTTATGAATATTTTCTGTTTTAATTTATTTATTGAGTATTTACTATATGCTGGGCCATGAAGGAATAAAGTGAGTGAAACAGACATGGTCCCTCCCCTTACAGAGTTCACAGTCTAGTACAGTAGTCTCCAAGCTCAGGTGCATGCTCCCCAAGGGCAGCACAGGCCAATCCTTTGCAATATAGGAAGAAAATGCTAGAATTTTAAAATTTTAATCCTCTAAAAACATTTATTTTGGGGGTATGCTTACATGATGTGCTCAAAAATGTTGAGTTGATAAGGGTACAGAAATCAAAATTTGAATCCCCGAAGAACGACTTTATTCTTCTTAACAGTTTTGTTGCATTCCATTTTTGGATGTCACATAGTTGAGTTTAATCACTCTCGATGAACATTTTACATTGCTCTTTAATATTCATATAACAGTTTGAGTGCAGATTATAAACTGCAGAACATTTTGAGAATTTTCTTTTTATAATTTTTATTAGGATAGAACAAACTTAAGAGTTTTTTAACTTTGTTTTTTGTTAAGAATTAGCGTGCTTGATCAAAAATGAGCTGTTGTAGTGTTCAAGTAAAGTGAGTGTTTACATTTTTGCTTAATTTTGTATTTGTATCACCCAAGAGATAAGTGTGGCAAGTATGTTATTTATGCCTAAAAAAATAAAATATCTTAAAATTCTGTCTACATAGAATCCTTCAGTTCCCCAGACCAGTTAAACTGGAAGATCTGAGGTCTAAAGCTAAAATTGCCTTTGGACAGTCTATGGATCTACATTATACCAATAACGAGGTAATAAACATGTATAGTTTAACTTTCAGTAGTTCCTACTTTGGAAAGTAGTGTGTTCATTTAAGAGATTGCTTTAGGACTGTTGTGCTTTTATTTAATAATTGATAAGGATATGATATGTTAGAGGAATAAGATATCACAAGTAAATTTGTAAATTTTAACTAATTAAAATGGATTTTTCTGTTGTGGAAAATAGTGAAAGGTGCTACTGTGCAAATAGTTGAATGAGAATCTATTAAAGGAGGAAATAGACGTATTACGTAGAAGTTTGCAGCTTATTTATGTTTTATTTCTACTCTATGTACTTTATTGATGAACTCTCTTTTCTTCTCATGCTCTATACTTCACTACAGAGACAATAGAGCTTTGGTAGTTGGACAGTTTAGTTAAAACTTAAAGGATTATTTTCATGTTGTTAGACATGCTTAGATCATTATGTTTATGTTGGGGAGTCAGTACATGTGATCTTGGGGCTCACTCTGACACTGAGGAGCTCTGTGTTCTGGGGAAACCCCTTTTGAACCTTCTGTAAAATTTGGATTGGATTAGATGATCTCTGAGGTTTCTTTCAGATCCTATGAGATCTCAAGATCTTGAGATCTTAAAATTTGCAAGGACAATTTACTTAATTGGTGAATTTGTCGTTGGGTTTTTTTCCCTCAGAAAATACTTGTTGAATTTCCCAGGCATAATGCTGTGGTTTATGAATTGCAGCCTATCATGGACTTGTGGTAGAAGCAGACAATTAATAAATGAATTGTTTAAATACGTGGAGTTCTTTGAAGGAAATGCATAAAGTATTGTGATAAAGAATAAAGGCAAGGGCAGTAGGTGTCCTATTTAGATAGTAGTCAGGAAGAACTAACTGTGGTGGTAGTATTTAATTACTGAGACTTGAAGTGTGAAAGGCCAACCCTGCAAGGAGATTGAGGGGAAGAACATTCCTGGTAGAAGAGCAGCTTGAGAACAGTGCATACCAAGATCTTAAGATGGAAAAGACTTGTGTATTTCAGGAATAGAAAAAGTGCCAGTGGTAATGGAGTGACAGCGGAGAGCTCAGTAAAAATTAATTTGAGAAAACGTGGAAGTGCTTTGCAAAGGTTAATGCATTGTGCAAATAAAAATATTTGAAAATATTAGATTTTCAAATAAATTATTGTTAATTTAAAGCAAAAGAATATGCTAATGTTGCTTGTCTAAAGAAACGACTTACAGCTGAAAGTGGAAAATATTTTGATAAAGTCAAAATCCATGTCCAAACAAATAATATCCCTGAACAAAATGATGAGTACTATACTATAGTAATACCTTAAAATTTTATTTTTCAAATACTTTTTGGGTTTTCAATTAGCTGTGAACACCTCTTAAGAGTGACCTGGTCCTATCTCGGCACTTATTATTTCTGTTTGTGCTGGCCTGATTTCCAACTGCTAGCCCCTGAGACTCTGAGGGCTTTTCAGAGGTAAGGCCATATGGTTTAGGCTGAAGTACATATAGGGGTGGAGGGTGGGAGATGAGGCTCAAGGAGGGGGTTGGGGTGAGAAGTGGGGATGGATGGCTTCCACTTACCCACAGTGGTAACTTGCTGGATAATACACCCTTTATGGGCCACCTGCTCTTCCCTGTCTTCCCCATTCCCCTACCAGTGCTTCCTGGTATCTCTTCCCACATAAACGGATTTGAACTTGAATCTTTATCTCATGATATGATTCTAGGGGAACTCAGATGTGTATTTGTTTCTGTTTGTTCTAAAATTGTATCATGGAAAACTTTCAAATGCTGAGATACATTAAGACTACAGTATCGGGCCGGCCCCGTGGCTTAGTGGTTGGGTGAGTGCGCTCCGCTGCTGGTGGCCCGGGTTCGGATCCCGGGCGTGCACCGGACCCACTGCTTCTCCAGCCATGCTGAGGCCGCGTCCCACATACAGCAACTAGAGGCTGTGCAACTATGACATACAGCTATCCGTTGGGGCTTTGAGGGGAAAAATAAATAAATAAAATCTTAAAAAAAAAAAAAAGACTACAGTATTGTCTTGATCTACCAGCCTAGTAGATGTGTCAAGAAAAATGTTAGTTCGATATGATTTGTTCATATTCTACCTATTCTGGCTCCTAGAATTGCTGTTTCTTTTCTGAGTTGTCCCAATTTGTTTACATAATTTTTTCTAGGGTTTTCTTGAGGATTGACATCAAGCTAACTGATCTATAGTTTTTGGAACCCACTCCCATTTTCTAAAAATTGGAAAATTTCTCCATTTTCAATTTCTTTTTCTCATGCTTTCTGAAGGATTTCTGGGAGTGGTTCTACCATTATATCTGGGTGGCCTCTTGGCAGGAATGTGGTAGAGGAGGCATTAGGGTAAGATTATGTTGTTTAAAATTTTTTTGCAATTCAGAGATTCTGTGCGAGTCTGTGATTGTGTGAGTTAACCATGTCCTGATTCACATCATGACAAACCCAATGCATGCCCTTGGACAGTGGGGGTACTAGGGAAAAACTTATAAGGGGTGTTAGTTTTATGGGCCTGTGGACAAGCAGAAAAAAAAAACTCATTTATACTGCTTGTTATTTCCAGTTCTGTAAATATTTTTTTTCTAGTGTAATATAAATTCCTGTGTTCTAAAAGAACCATTATTATATAAACTTGTAGTTGGCCAGAATCAAAACCACCAGAAAATTTATGCTGGGATTGGTTGGATTTGTTAGTTGAGCTCCTCTTTGTCTAATAAAATGTTGAGTGTGTGTGTCTCTGTGTTTGTTGTCATGGGGGATAGATGTGGGAGTGTGCAGGCAAAGTAAGTGGGTGTTCTAAGATCTTGCCCGTTTTAGATGAGAGAGAAGGAAAGCCTCCTTATGGACTATTTTCATGTTTCATTGTGTAAAGTCAGGAAGATAATTCACTTCTTTCAAATTTAGGTTCTGTTTAATGGTTTTTGGACTCAATTTTTAGTTTCCTTTCCAGAAAGTATTTATATTAACATAAAACTGATTTATCAGTAATAAGCCAGAGGGAAATAGATTTCATGAATGAGGCTGAAATCAGTTCACCAAGCAGGAAAACATTGTGTGATTTATTTAGTATAATTTAGACAAGCTGGGACTTGTTCTTGACTGTTAGTTCTCATTTTAAAATTTGTAATAGGTGACCTTAGAATATATGAGGGATCACATCAGAACCAGAGGTAGTAGTCCAAGATGCTGCTCCAGGCACTTCTCCAGAATGTACAGATTTCATGTTAGCAAACTGAAGAAGAGCAGAATCATTTATGTTACTACTTTGTTTCTGTGATTGAAACTAGTGTCTTTTCCTCCAAAAGCAACAGTATCTTGCAGAAGTAAACAATCCAATTATAAATAACTGTGTAGTAAAAGTAAATATTCAGGTTTTCCCCTCAAATGAAAAATTGGCAAAACAGTCCTCGTCATTGCTTTTAAGTGTTTTTTAGTGGTTAAAATATTGTAAAAGAATGTTGAAAATAAGAGCATGATCTGCCAATGTGGTTCATAATTGATATGAAAATGAAACGAATTTAATTAAGTAGATCAGGCTTGTTCTATAATACCAGTTAATATTCTTTTTTTATTAGAAAAAAATTCTCATAGAGAAAAAAAAGGGCCTGGTTAATAGATAAGCTGTAGTAGTATACAGTTAGCTACAAACAGGAATTGGGAATATAATTTCAAGTACAGAGTAAGTAAATGTAAGCAGATTGTATGATGGAATTCATATTAGTCCTGCTTTGTATTTGTGTCTGATAGCCCTTTAAAACAAGGAATTTTTTCATAAAGAAGTCTGCAGAGAATGAATGCACATCATGTCAGCTAGTGGGTACAGATGAACCTTTCATTCTATGATATTTGTTAAACAGTATTTACCAAGTGTTTGCTCTTTACTGTGCTCTGTGTTAATTGCTGGTGGGGGAGGGGGGGCCTTGTCTTCAAGAAATTTATACTGTGGAGGACCCAAAACTAACTAGGCCTTTACATTTGAATGTCTTATATACTGCGCTATAGGCTAACAAGTGCGGAAATATGTTCACTTGTTATTCTGTCCTTTCAATGAAATGGAATATACTTTGAAGATTATTGACAGAGTTGTCTTAAGCTACTAAAGTTTACTTTTTTTTTTTTTTTTAAGAAAAGAGTATTTTGATTTTAAGTTGTGTGAATCATGCTTTTTCTCATAGACCTCTCAGGTGCTTTTGTCCTTTATAATATCTGATCCATGAGCGGATTAATGAAAGCAGATTTCCACGTTTAGGATTTACTATGGGATTTTTAGCTTTTTTGTTTTAGAGTGTAATGGTTAAGCACCATGGTCAGAGATAGGAGCCCCAGGTGGGCTGTATTGCAGGCACACTACTAGTGGCACCCCTCCATGGCAGCTGTCACAGATGCTCATTATATTTGCTGTGTTGATAAGCACACTGGGTGAGAATACAAATCCATGGTTACTACTGAAAAAAAAACCCTAAAGGTTTCATCAATGCAGATGGAAGATAAGTACCTTTATTTTATATAGTTTTTGTGTGTACTCCTTAATGATGTTTTGGAGTGAAGATACTGTATCTTAAGTTTAGCAATATTATGGAAATATCCTAGAAAATTAATCTTTAAATTTGTTTTCTAGAAGAATTTAATGATTAATAAAGCAAAAAAAAATTTTGTCCATATTCATTTAATGATTTTAGTGGTGGTAGGATGGGGTCTAGTGGTTAAGATTTGAAGCTCTCACGGCCTCATGCCAGAATCATTTCCTGGTCAGGGAACCACACCACACATCTGTGGGTTGTCATACTGTGGTGGCTGCATGTGGCTGTGATGCTGAAAGCTATGCCACCAGTATTTCTAATACCAGCAGGGTCACCCATGGTGGACAGGTTTCAGGGGAGCTTCCAGACTAAGACTGACTAGGAAGAAGGACCTGGCCACCCACTTCTGGAAAAATTGGCTTTGAAAACCCTATGAATAGCAGCAGAACACTGTCTGATATAGCGCCGGAAGGTGAGAGGATGGTGCAAAAGACTGGGCGGGGTTCCGCACTGGTGTACACAGGGTCACTATGAGTTGGAATCCACTCGAGGGCACTAATAGCAAAGGGTGGGAAGCGCAAAACATTGTAGATACATACATTCATTCAGAATTTATAATTATTATACTGACAAAAAGCAAGGTATTTTGAGATTTATAATTTCATAGTAATGGAGATGCTCCTGGAAGGACTCAACCGTATGAGATTGCTGCATGATTCCTTATGTTCCTTTTTGTTTAGTTGGTAATTCCATTAACTACCCAAGATGACTTGGACAAAGCTGTGGAACTTCTGGATCGTAGTATTCATATGAAGAGCCTCAAGATATTACTTGTAATAAATGGGAGTACACAGGTATGAATTGGGATTTTTTTCAGTAAGGATTATAGGATTTATGCCTGTAAAAGTCAATATATGAAACACAGTTACATTCTTTAATCATTGATATATTTTCAGTATGATTAAATGTAAACTTACACATTGTAATTGCTCTAGTTTAATATCCTTGCTCCTCAAAACTCTAGCCAAAATTACAAATAAGTATAATACACTGAACATATGAAACTAATAGAAACTGAGAACTTGGGAAGAATTATGTTAGAACCTATATTTCCAAGAGTAGATTTGATGAGACCCACAAACAATATAGAATATCTAGGTTGTATTTGGTAGGGGAGGGGATTCTGTTTAAAGCCCTAAAGGGGAAGAAGAACATTAATCACCCTTTTTCCTTTGTAGGCTACTAATTTAGAACCATTGCCATCACTAGAAGATTTGGATAACACAGTATTTGGAGCAGAGAGGAAAAAACGGCTTTCTATAATAGGTAAGAAAGCTAATGTTTGAATCATGAACTGGGTGATTTCTCAGTTTCTTCTTCATCCTTTAATGTAGGGCAACACTTAACATAACCCTAATAAATAGCTGCCCATCTCTGTGCTCGCTGTGGTTTATCTCAGTTAACTATGTTCTAGTATCTGAGGTCCCTTGAAAAGTTATGTCAAGTATATAGGATTTGAAATCTCCAACTTAAATATTTTCTTTCTTTAAATATCTAGGGTATTTTAATGATTAACAAATTCAAATAAAACCTCAAAGAGATTTTAATTGTACAAATAAGTTGGAGGGAAAAAATTAAAAGAAGTAATTCTAATATATTAAATTAATGGATGGACTAAGTTCATAAGCCTTTCTCTTAAGTTTCAGTTATTGCCAAGAATGCTATCAAAATAAAGATTGCTAAGAGTTTCCAGGTTATGCTTTATTATTACTTTATTAGCATTCAGTTTTTATTTGTCATTAATAATACACTGTTATAATGAAGCTTATAGTATAAAGAAAAATGGATCCTGTGTGCTGTTTTTTATAGGAGGCCTATTAGAGAGGCATGGGCTGGACAGAGGGGCTCTAAATTCCCCAATAGTGTGTATCTTCTTCAATTTGTATAAAACATTGATAATCTACATTTTTATATGGTAATGGCATTACATTGCTCAAAAGCCACTGGTATAAGTGTTTTTAACAGGGCAGTGAATGTGGTCATTAAAGATAGCATGAAAACATACATGAGGGATGGATTTGAAGGGGAGAAGTGAAAGAGGAGGCAAAACAGATGAATAGGAAGGAAGCAGGAGAGTGGGACAAAATAAGAAGTGTGGTTGGGAATCTAAGACTAGTAACAGAAGAGGATTGTTAATAGCAAAAGAAAAGAGTAAATTGGTATGTGAACCACCAAAAAAAAAATCTGTTATTCATGTTCTGTTTTGGTTGCCAGAAGACCAAAGCTTCTTCCCCCAGAAGAGGCTATTTTATGACTATTTCCTTCTAAGTGTGTCACTTATATAAGTCCTACTTTTGGTTTCAGGAATGCTGGAAATGTGAGCAGCAGAGATAATATACAAATATAAAAATTGCTTGTCTTCTTTTGGATATATTTTGATATCATTTAAAATTTTGGTGAAAGAACATTAGAGATACCTGAATTCAAATTCCAGCTAATTAATGAGATTTGTAACTTTGTCCACATCTTTAAATCATGGGATTGTTGTAGCAATAGAGAGAACACTTTTTAAAAGTACATTTTGCTTTTCAAACTAGAAAGCATGACTATTGTTAATCATACATTTCTTCATACATTTCTTTCTTTATTCCCTTCTCCTATTTAAAGTAAAAAGTCGCCGGTTCACTTTAGTTGCATTAGACAGAACAAGCTAAATGCACTAAATTGACTTTTTTTTTTTTTTGCCGAGGAAGATTCACACTGAGCTAACATCTGTTGCCAGTCTTTTTTTTTCTTGAGGAAGATTAGCACTGAGCTAACATCTGTGCCAACCTTCCTCTATTTTGTATGTGGGACGCACCACAGCATGGCTGATGAGTGGTACAGGTCTGCGCCGGGGATCCAACCCCACGAACCTGGGCTGCCAAAGTGGAGTGCACCGAACTTAACCACTACACCACAGGGCAGGCCCTAAATTGACGTTTTAAATTCATTTTGAATTAAAACTGTACTGAATACTTCACTCTTGTTCTACTAATAAATATTCTTGTTGTTTGACTTCAGTGCCAGAGTAAGAAAAAACTGGAAATTGTCAAGTATAAAATTACTGGTCTTTTATTGGCACCTCTTTAAACTTGGAATGGCTTTGATAGATATGACCATTATCTTTTTTCCTTTTTTATTGACAATTATTCCCTTTAATTATTTTCATAGAAGATACAGGAAAAACTTCCTTTGGAATTGGAAGTGTATGCTGGTGTGGAGGTCTCAACCAAGAGTGCATTGGCTTACCTATTACTAACAAAAATTAAGAAAAATGGGTTATCAAGTAAGGAGATGAAGAAATTTTCATAGCCCCCCCCCCCATTTCCTTTTAGTAGTGAGTATATTGATCTTCTTCAAGGGTACATGGAAGGAATAAAAAATATTAGAGACCATGTGATCATAGTTGTTACAAAGCCTAAATCAACCCCTGGCTCAAAGTTGAGTCCCTAATCATATTAGAGTTAAGTGTAGAAAATTATCTCTTTTATGCACATCTCTTGGTAATCATTTTGTTCTCTTTCTCCCTATCTCATCAGTAACAAGTGCTGGCATATACTTAAAATGACCCCTTTACATAAGGCAAAAAGCCTTTTTGGCTTTAAATCTGACTAGAACTTAAATGCTCACATAACTGCCCCATATCTTTTTTAATTTCAAAAAATTAGGCGGAAAGTTGAGAAACTGTGTTAATAAACACAGCATTATCTATAGAACCAGGTAAAAATGAAGTGAATTATTGTCTCATAAGAAATGATGTGATTAATTATATGAACTATATTAGATTCTCTGATTTTCTAAACTGCCAAGAAATTCAAATTCCAGGAATATGGCTTGCCACAAAAAAGCCTAATTTTAAGTACACAAGAATAAAATCTAGGATTCTGAATTAAAAACACTTTAATATGGACCAAATGACTAATAAGTAATCTCACTTTAGATTTAGATTCTAAAGATTAAAGAGAGGGAATGGAAAGAACATCATAGAGCCACATGTGCATAGCATATGTTCATTATGAATAATTTTACCATCACAACACCCCTGCAAAGGAGGGATTTAGTCCCATGTTTACAGATGAGGAAACAGGTTCATGGAGATTGGATAACTTTCCCAAAGACACACAGCTGGTAAATAACTAGAACTGGGGTTTAAGCTGAGGTCTGCCTCTAAAGCCCATATTCTTTCCACTACATCATGATGCCTTCCATAAATTATGTTAAAAGGTAACATATATTTGGGTACAAGTGACCTCTGGAAGTTCAGAACCAGTGGCATTTATCTAAAAATCTTTATTGTATTATCAACCCCATAATACAGTTGTCAGCAGTCAGAAGAACTGCTATACCACCTAATAAGTATAAATGAATATTACAGTGAGGTTAATAATTATAGTAGGGTGGGAGTTTAGAAAGGTAAAAACATTTGAAGTTTTACAGACATGAATGTTCTGATAAGTTTTAAAAAAACTGAATTTCAGTTGCTAAAATTGTTCATACTATAGTCCAGAAATTTTGTGTATGTATTTATCAAAACAAAAGTTGGTTCCCTGCTGGTATTTATAAAATCATATAATTTTTCTCCTGTGAGGTCCCACTAGTAGAGATAGAAGCTCCCCTCCCCCGGGATACATTCCGGATGAATTACACCAGGTTGCCCGGAATGGGTCATTCACCAGTATCAACAGTGAAGGAGAGTTCATTCCAGAGAGCATGGACCAAGTAAGCAAAAGTTGAATGTGTTTTTTCATTTCATTTAAAGGGATGTTGTGTGGTTTGGCAGGAATCTCAAGTGTGTGTGTGTTTTACCTCTTCTCCATATCTTCTTAAGTGAACAAAACAATAAAAAATATACAAAAATCCCCACTAATTTACATGTGCTTTTGTGCGTTCATGTATAAATAAAGCTGAAATAAGGCTTGATTTTCTTATCTTGCTCATCCGTAAATGAAGGAATGCATTTGTTTATAGTCCTGGGATTAACATTCAGACTTTTCAATTAACACTTGAAAGATATAGTAAAACTACAGATATTTAACTTTTTGAAACTGAGGTTTGTCAGCTTTCTAAAACATTTTTAAATGTTTTTAAAAGTTTTTTTAGTATTGAGGTATTTTCATGGGGTTGCTGTTGTTTCCTTAACATTACCTTGGCTGCTTATACTGTTACAGGAGTTTACATTTTCTAATAATAGAGCAGTCACGGTGTCATTACTCTCAATTTGAGCGGGGCTATTGTTTAGTTTTCAGTAAGCAAAATTATATGAAATCTTTAGCTTTTAATTATTTAGCTAATAGACCATATAGAGAAAGAATATTTTTCTCTTAGGAAATTTTGAAGTTGTAGCCTACCTAACAAGGGACAACTATGTTTAAAACATTTAAAAATGAGTACGACTGCTACTGGATATGGGGTTCCTTTTTTGGGAACTGTAAAAAGTGTTCTGAGACTGTGGTGAGGGTTGCACAACTCTCAGTATACTAAGAACCATTGAATTGTACGCCTTAAATGGGTGAATTTTATGTTACATGTTATCTCAATAAAGCTGTTTTAGATTAAAAAACAGTAGCTTCTGGATATATCACATCGAATCATGGTGCAACTCTTAATTTTTCTAGATGTTGGACCCATTATCTTTAAGCAGCCCTGAAAATTCTGGCTCAGGAAGTTGTCCGTCACTTGATAGTCCTTTGGATGGGTAATGTTGATTGTAATTTTTGTTTTTAAATATATGTAGGTAAATAAGCATATATATAGCATGTTGAATTATCAACTCTTTTGTGCTCCGTTCAGAGGAATGTTATTGATACTAGTCTATACTTACAGCAAATGAATTTTTTGACAGTTTGGACAAATCTCTTAACCTCATGGGGCCCAATATCTTTATTAGTTAAAATGATACCTGATTATAATATTTTGAGTATTCCTGCTTGCCAAAATTGTGTTTGAAGCTAAATACAAACTTAGAATTTATGTACCTTTACTTTTAAAACTGTATTGGTGAAACTGCTATCAAATTTTAATATGTTTGGTTTTGGAGATTTCTTGAGTTGTTTCACCTATTAAGGATTATGTTCATTCTGGCACTAAATTATAAATAACTTACATTCTTGGTAATTGTGGCCCAGTGTGTTGGTTGTCATTTAAAATTTAAGTACTTTGGTGAAGTAGCTGTTCAGTAACATAAACTGGGTCAAGTTGCAATGTGAATTTCCTTTACAAGTGCTCCCTCTCTCCTGGTTTCAATAGGATAATGCTCACCTGTAGCACACAAAGTTACCCTGTAACACACAGAGTCAATATCTTTATTAACATCTTTACCTATTTAATCTCCTCTGTGATTGCTTTATGAGAGCAGATTCTGGAAATATAACTAATATTGTATGGGGATATACATTTAATTTTCTGTTACCTGTATACATGAAATCTTTGTGCCCATGTCTACCTCAAGATAGACATTTAAAACACTTAAGGGGCCGGCCCTGTGGCTTAGCGGTTAAGTGCGCGCTCTCTGCTACTGGCGGCCCGGGTTCGGATCCTGGGTGAGCACCGACGCACCGCTTGTCCGGCCATGCTGAGGCCACGTCCCACATACAGCAACTAGAAGGATGTGCAACTATGACATACAACTATCTACTGGGGCTTTGGGGGGGTGGGGAAGGAGGAGGATTGGCATGGATGTCAGCTCAGAGCCAGTCTTCCTCAGCAAAAAAAAGAGGAGGATTAGCATGGATGTTAGCTTAGGGCTGATCTTCCTCACCAAAAAAAAAAAAAACCACTTAAGAAATTCAGGAAAATAGTAATGTGAAAGCTATATATTGAGTGCTTAATATTTGAAAAACACTGTCCTGAGCACTTTACATATATATACATATGTGTATATATGTAGTCGATGAGTTGGAAATTATTATCTCTTCTTTATAGACGTGGAAACAGTCTCAGAAAGGTAATTGGCCAAGCTTGCAACAGCTAGTTAAGTGGCAGGGCTGGGATTGAAACAGATGTTTCCAAACATCTCTAATTCTAAAACATACCATTCTCACCACTATACTCTGGGTTAATTTTAAAAGCCAGGCTCTCTGCCTGCATGTACCAGATAAGTGTTTAAAAAGAAGTTTCTCTTTTTTCACTTATGTTAACATTTCCAAGTGAGCCCCTTGATATATATATATAATACATACATACATGTATATATACATATACATACATATGTATATATGTATCTCCACACATACATACATATAGATATTGATATTGCATAAAGATTTTTTTATATGTCTTATTTACATACTTTGTCTTAATTTAACGTGACATTTTCTTTTAGAGAGAGCTATCCAAAATCACGAATGCCTAGGGCACAGAGCTACCCCGATAATCATCAGGAATTTTCAGGTTAGACTCCACATGCTGAATGTTTAAATGTTTATGTCATCGAATAATGTTTTGGCTGGGAGGGAGAGGGGAATTAAAAAAAAAATGTGTTTTTCATCATTAGAAATATTTGACTTTTTTATAATATATAACTCTCTTACATGTCTTAATAGACTATGATAACCCTATCTTTGAGAAATTTGGAAAAGGAGGAACATATCCAAGAAGGTATCATGTTTCATATCACCATCAAGACTATAATGATGGTAAGTTTCTGGCAATTAGACCACAAGAACAGTTTGTTAAAAATCTCAAAGATAATCAAAATAGAAATAAATTTTTAAAAATCTGATAATTAAGTAATACCATTAGAAATAAATTTGTTCCTGGGCCGGCTCCGTGGCTTAGCGGTTAAGTGCGCGCGCTCTGATGCTGGCGGCCCGGGTTCGGATCCCGGGCGCGCCCCGAGGCACCACTTCTCCGTCCAATGCGAGGCCGAGTCCCACGTACAGCAACTAGAAGGATGTGCAGCTATGATGTACAACTATCCACTGGGGCTTTGGGGGGAAAATAAATAAATAAATAAAATCTTTAATAAATAAATAAATAAATTTGTTCTTGAATCACTTAGTTTTCTGCTTAAAAATGTCTTTTTTAAAGAAATTGGATGATAACTAAAACTATAATAACAGCTTATGCCAACATCCCTCATAGTACTTATTTTTCCCTTAGAAGAAAAAGAGTAATTAAAAAATATTAGTTAGAAAATTACTCCTTGATGATGAAATTCATACTTGAATTAGGAAAAAAAAATATTGTTACCTATAAACTTTGCAGTTTTTGTATTATATTTTAAATCATTATTGGAAATGAGAATAAAATATGTATAGTTTTCTCCTTTTTATCCAAAAGTGAGAGTTCTGATTTTATGAATGTGTATATATTTTAATATAAGAGATTATTTGAATTTGTATTCAAATCCTTTCCTTTTTTCCCCATTTTTCTCTTCATTTCTGCTTTCACCTTTTCTCTTTCTTGTATTTTCATTTTTGACTTCATGATTCAATGTTAACAAGGATATTTCCTTGAACTCTTTTATTATTATTTTTTTTGTGTCTGAGGAAGATCAGCCCTGAGCTAACATCTGTGCTAATCCTCCTCTTTTTGCTGAGGAGGACCGGCTCTGAGCTAACGTCTATTGCCAATCCTCCTCCTTTTTTTTTGTTCCCCCAAAGCCCCAGTAGATAGTTGTATGTCATAGTTGCACATCCTTCTAGTTGCTGTATGTGGGACGTGGCCTCAGCATGGCCGGACAAGCGGTGTGTCGGTGTGCGCCCGGGATCCGAACCCGGGCCGCCAGTAGCGGAGCTTGCGCCCTTAACCGCTAAGCCACGGGGCCGGCCCTCCTTGAACTCTTTTAAAAAATACTGCTGTTAAGTTTAAAATATATCATCAAATAATCATTGCTATTTCAGTTTTTTAGCCTAGTCACAGGATAAGTTTCTGTTCCTTATGTTACAAATTTTAAATACTTTCAATACAGCATATTAATAAAAGTTGTAAGGTAATTCTGTTTTCATTTTGTAGGTCGTAAAACTTTTCCGAGAGCTAGAAGAACCCAGGGGACTAGCTTCCGGTCTCCTGTGAGTTTCAGTCCTACTGATCACTCTTTAAGCACTAGTAGTGGAAGCAGTATCTTTACCCCAGAGTATGATGATAGTCGAATAAGAAGAAGGGGAAGTGACATAGACAATCCTACTTTGACTGTAATGGACATCAGCCCACCCAGCCGCTGTAAGTCATAGAAATTGGCGTAGCGAAATATATAGCAGAACCTTTGCAGAATTTTATAGTATTAAAAAGAATAAATACCAAGCCAGTCCTTAAGGTGAGACCAACTTCTTAAAAGAGGTAAAAATGGTATTTCTAAAAGTGATTGGATTGTCAGGTATAAGCATGGTATTACTGCTAATTACTTTAGATGATTCTGCCCTTGGCTTTTATTAGGAAAATTGTTACCATTTAGTCATTCATTCATTTATTCCACATATTCTTGTTGAGCGCTGGAACTGAGATTTCAAATATGACCTCTAAGATGTGATCTAATGGGGAGAATAATGTGTGGAGAAATAATTATAGTATAGCATTTAATCTAGTTCTTGAACGGGAATGGGAATTCACCAGTTAAGGAGGTCACATGTGCAAGAGGCTGTGGCATGTTCCGTAAATGGGGAATAGTTCATTTTTGGGTGAAGTGGAGGATATCTTACTTGAAACAGTGGGAATAGGACTAGAGTGGTAACTAAGGCCAGATTGCCAAGTATTTGGACTTGATTGCATAAGCAATGCATAAAAAGATTCATGCTCAAAGATATTTATTGCAGCAATATTTCCATACTCTGAATTCTTCCCTTTTGTGCTAGTGTTGTCATATTTTACTTTTACGTATATGACCTTACACCACATTGCTGCTATTTTTGCTTTAAACAGCTGTCTTTTAAAGTGGTTAAAAATGAGAGAAGAATGTCATATATATATATATATATATATATATATATATATATATATATACACATATACCTTCAGTTTACCTGTTTCTATAGATCTTTATTTATGTAGATCCAAGATTCTGTCAGGTATCAAATTTCTTCTGCCTGAAGAATTGCTTTTAACCTTTCTTGTAATATAAGTCTGCTGGTAATAAATTCTTTCAGCTTTTGTTTGTTTGAAAAAGATCTTTATTTCTCTATTTTTGAAGGATTTTTTTTTCTGGCTATAGAAATGTGGGCAGGTTTTTTTTTCTTTTAGCACTTTAAATCTATTTCTCCATTGTCTTCTGGTTTGTATACTTTCTGAGGAGAAGTCTGCTGTAATTTTTATCTTTATTCCTCTGTCTGCAGTATACTTTTTTCCTTCTGGCTGCTTTCAAGACTTTCTTTTGTTAGAATGAGAGTGTTGCTCTTTCTGGCTTTCTATGTCGTAGGTAAATGAAAAGTTAATTACAAATATTGCTGCAATAAAGATTAGAAATAGTGCATCTTACAATTAGTGGCGTCTTAGATTGAGTGAAAGGTGCTATTACATTTGTAATCGGGGAAAAAATAATCTCATTGGAAAAAAATGAGTCATGGGGATATGCACATTTTTTGGGTTTAGAATTCTTAGAAAATTGCCTAAAGAGAAAAATTTTCAAAGATGATGTTAATTATGAATTTGGATGATCTTGATTTTTCCTTATATCCAAGCATATTCAATTAAGAATATCACTAATGCAGTGTACTCATTTAGTCCTTAACCATTTGTGTGCCACCTGGCTATTCCATCTTAAGAATATGTTCTTTTTTAGCACCTCGTGCTCCAACCAACTGGAGATTGGGCAAACTGCTTGGCCAGGGAGCCTTTGGCAGGGTCTACCTCTGTTATGATGTCGATACAGGAAGAGAATTGGCTGTTAAGCAAGTTCAGTTTGACCCTGATAGCCCTGAGACCAGCAAGGTAAGAATCACTGCACAAGCTACTTTGTCACATTATTAGAAGCATTTTTACTAAAATAAATATAACAATAGAATTTTTTGTTTTTCCTTAATACAAATTATTTGCAAAACAAATAGATAATTAGTTATGTTTATCTACTTTGTACTGTGGATTTTTCTCTTTCAGTACTCAGTTATATTCCTAATCTGGTTTAGTGTTGCTTTAGCATACCATCAAGGACTGCTATAAAAGTTATTGTTTAGAGACTTTAAAATGTTTATTCCTTGGGAAGTAAAATTTCAGAATGAAAATCACCCAATGATCCATGAATTTCGATTTTTTTGCTTTTACCAATAATGCTGTAAAGACTTAACAGTGAGTTCTGTCTTTCAGGAAGTAAATGCACTTGAGTGTGAAATTCAGTTGTTGAAAAACTTGCTGCATGAGCGAATTGTTCAGTATTATGGCTGTTTGAGGGATCCCCAGGAAAAAACACTTTCCATATTTATGGAATATATGCCAGGGGTAAGTTAGTACATCCTTCGAAAATAGACATATTCTATTTAAAGTCTTAATTAAGGAAAGGAAAACAACAAAACTTTGATTATAAAATGTTAAACCTAGTTAAGGACATTTTGGAAGAGTTTTAAATTAGAGTTAATGTAATTTTATTTTCTCTCTTCATCTATCATTGTATTTTTTAACTCATTTTTTACATTGCTAAAAATGTATACTAAAATAGGTTACAGACATGATACCAGTCTATATCTAGATTTCCCTAAGTGCCCTAAAAATATCCCTAGTGGCTGGTTTATCCAAACCGGGATCCTGTCTAGGACCACACATTACACTTAGCTGTTACATCCCTTACTCCTCTTTTATTCTATAACAGTTTCACATGACATAGATTTGACAAAGAGACCAGGCTAGTTGTTCTGTTGACAGTCTCATCTCACAGATTTCTCTAATTACATCCTCATGAAGTTGTTTAATTTGTTCCTTTATCCCCTTATTTCCTGTAAACTCCAAGTTAGAGCTAAAGTCTAAATTAGATTCAAATTCAACATTTTTTAATTAGAATGCATCATAGATGATGCTGTGTATTTCATGTTGCTTCCCATTAGGAGACATACAGTTTCTGGTTGTGCCACTGTTAGTGATGCTAAGATTGACTGCTAGATTAGGGTGATCGACATCCCATTTCTTCCATTGTAAATTTTGTTTTTTCCTGAAGACCAGAAAGTAATCTGAGCTACAGCAGTAGCACATAGGAATATCCATTTCCTTTTCAACCATCCACCTAATGTTTTTAACACAGATTGATAATCATTGCCTGAGTCAGTAATTTCATTAGGAGTTGCAAAATGTGATTTGCAAACTTTGTCATTCCTTCTATGTTTTTTTTAGTATTTACCTTCTAATACTAATGATTTGCAAGATGGTGGTGTATTCACTTGTTTAAAAATAACATGCATTCCCATAATTTAATAGGCAGTATATGTTAGAAAAAAGATTTGATTTGTGGGTCTTTAAGGGAGGGAGTAGCTTATTAGAATGGTATGTAGAATGTACAAGGTTGCAATTTAAGCTTATGGATCAATAAAACGGTGGATCAGTATCTGATAGTAATGGTCTTAACCATTCTCAGTCTCACAAGAGCAATAGTAAACTTTGTTTCTTATCGTCATGAATAATTGTTTATAGTGACATCATTGTTACACATCATTGCTACTTTTTATTTTCAAAGATTATGTTGGCAATGTAAATTGGTTTTTTAAAAAATCCCCTTTGGAAAACAAATTGGTGGGATGTATTAAAGGGCATAAAAATCTTGAAGCCTTTTGACCTGGTAATCTCACAGAAATTTTTTCTACATAAATAATCCAAAAGAAGGAAAAAACTGTGTACATTTATTTTAGTATTATCTGTGATGGAAAAAAAATGAAAATATCAGTGCCCACAGTGGAATCCGTAAATTATGATGGTATTGTCCAAGAGAATATGTATTAAAAATTAAAATTGTGAAGGCCATGTAGGAAAGTTAGAGGAAGGACTTATAATAAGAGGGAAAAAGAATATACATAAAATGCTTTTTAATAATGATTATGATATTTTAAAAGTATCTATATTTGGACAGGGACAAAAGAAACTTAGAAACATGAAAATGTGTTATGTTGGAATTGTGATTGATTTTTCTCTTTTATTCAGATTTCCACTACTGTTTGTGCAGTGAATATTTAAATTAAAAATAGAAAATAATTATGAATAAGTGTGAATAGAGACCCAGATTGTTGAAGATAAGATTAATTAAAATGGTTAATTGGTTAGAAGTGATTTACATCACAAATAGGGATGGGTAATCTCTATATATTTAGCAGTCTTAAGACTAAACCATGACTATTCAGGAAGAGGTGTTAGATCATGTTTATCATTAGCTACACTTGGTTTTGTAAGAGCAGCTCTCTCTTCAGAGTATAGGTTGTCATTCCTTGAATTTGAAAAGCATGTTACTAAATTAATAATAATTCATCAACAATCTAAATGAATACTATGGCAAGCCCATGGCATTTATAGGCTGAACATATACATATATGTTCCTAGTCTTTCCTGAATCTCCAAGTTTGTGAATGATGCTATATAATTTCTCTCATTAAATTTATTATGATGGACCCTTTTATGCCCTAGATTCAAGCTTTGCCAAAATTGTCATTCCATTCTTCAGTTCTCCCAAATATAGCATTCCATTCCTTTGTTTATCAATAACTACTTTCAGACTAGAACCATAACTTTATTTTCAGTACCTGAACTAGCAGTTGGTTTTTCTCTCTTACACACACACACACACACACACACACACTCTTCAGCTGGCACAGCGCTTCCCATCCCATTCCAGTTGTTCACACTGAAAAAAACATTTTTATGGTACACAGGGGTAAACGGACCATACCAATGGAGCTGTTAGCAGCCATAGGCCACTGGCTCAGCTGCCTGAGGGCCCAAAGGATCCATAAGTCCATCACTCATTTACAGCCTATAAGTATTTTGGGGCTTACTGTTTGGAAACTTCAGTTCTAGCTGTGTTATTTTGTGTATTACTTCAAGTAGAGACACAGTAAGTAGACTGAACAAACAAGCCACATTGAATTATAGGTGTGGGTGGTTGGCTGGGTCCACTCACTGCCTAAGACTTTCCCCACATGTTTTTGCAAGTTTGGGTCAGCAGAATTGCATCCTGCTTGTTCCTTCAGGGATTGCTCATGAATAGTGGAACCAGCAAATGGTTAAGCCTGTGAAATCCAAGGATCTACTTTTATATGACAAAATACACTTTTTACCAAAATTCAAGGAAAGGCAGAAACACTTGGCTATATTCCCTATTTAAAAGAAAAGATTTTATCCCTTAGGAAGCATTTTATTTCCATCTTTTAAAGTGGTGATTATTCATCATATTTGCACAGTGGAATTAGTAGGGAAGCTTTTTCAAAATTCAAGTACCTACATCTCACCTCAGACTGATTCAGCAGTCTGAGATGGCACCTCATCCTGCCTTAAAAAACACTTAAGAAAATTTGAAATTTCTTTTTAATATATTTTCTTATGTTTTGAACTAGAATATTGAGTATATAAAGGAAAAACTAAAATCTCATATGTGTTCTTGATTTTCTAATTATACCCATTCTTTCTTCTGAGAAGTAAATTAGAAGATATCAATAAAACATTGTTTTAAAACCAGAGTAAGAACAAAATAAATAAAATTAAAGTAGGACATATATAGAAGAGCTAGCAGGAAAAACAAAAAATATATTCAGGGAGAAAAAAGCAAGATAAAAGTACTGGAGAATTTTTAAAAACATGATTGCAAAGGAATAGGAAATAGAACCAACGTAGTCATAGAAACAAGGGCATCAGTCAAAAAATAGTTCCAAAGGCTTCCTTCAGCTATGACCCCTACTCTTTCACAGCCCTAGTCAGGGAATATGGTAGAGTTGTATATGAAATTTGATGTTATATAATGTCCTTACTCAGAATTCCTGTGCTCTCCAACTAAAGCCTCTCAGTCGTGCACTAGGATTCTTTTAAAAATAAAGATTTAATAGTAGTTTTCATTTCAAACCATATCATAGTTTTCTGTTTTTTTTTTTTTAATCTTAGGGTTCAATTAAGGACCAATTAAAAGCATATGGAGCTCTTACTGAGAATGTGACTAGGAAATACACTCGTCAGATTCTGGAGGGTGTCCATTATTTGCACAGTAATATGATTGTTCATAGAGATATCAAAGGTAAGTAATGAGGTATTTTTAATTTTAAGTACACAGTTCTTTTTTTGTGAATGTGAATGAAACAAGTGATATGGTTAAGGAATTTAACATGTAAATTAATACATCTACCTTTAAAATCCCATAGGAAAACAATTCTGCATTCTCACTGACACAGTCAGTATTTGGACTACTCCTGCTGTTCAGGTCTCCACAAGTGAGAAACTCCCCTGTGGGGGTTCACAGAATTAATAAAGTTCAAATGATCATAAAAATGAGACCATGTTTTCATAGAGCATAGGCCTTAGAGTATAGTGGCTCTGACATCAGATGGCCTGTTTCAAATTCAGGCTTTTTCCGTCCTGTGTGACTTTGGACAAGATATTTCATCTCTCTCTGCCTTAGTTCCTCATTTTTAAGGAGGGTGATAACAGTATCTAATCATAGGATTCCTTTAAGATTAAACTAGTTAATGCATATAATATGCTTAAAACAGTGCCTGTATTTAGAAATCACTCAAAAGTTGGCTATGATGATGATATGTTGAGATCATATTTAAAGCCATGGGAATGGATGTTATTACCTAGGGAGAGAATAAGAAGAGGGAAGAAAAGAGCCTAAGACTTAGCTTTGATGAACTCCAACTCAGTTAAGCTCCCTGTTTAAAACTCAAAAACTCAGCTGTTTTCAGGGATCCGGTATGTAAGGTAAATGCATGAAGTGAGACAAAAGTGAGTGGTGGAGATGTGTAAAATTTGAGAGTGCTTAAAACTCTGTACTGCAAAGCATACCTGGAGGTTAGATTCTATAAAAACTGTGTTGTGACCCCAAATTTAAAGATCACTTTATTCAGTCAATCAATAAGAATAATAAATACACACATGTATAAATAATAAATATATTTTTCATTGGTCTTTCTAGGGGCTCTTATGAGTTACCAGATATTTACTTCCTTCCTGTTGTGGTGTGCCACATCCTGAATATGGCCATATTCAGGCCAAAGAGAACATTCCTAACCAGTTTCTGGTGATAAAGTAGAATCTTCTGCAGAATGCCTGAGCCAGACCACATGTACTAGAATGGAGCTTACTAGTGAGTCTGAAAGGATAAGGACATGGCTCATGATCTAAAAGAAATAGGAGCCTGTCTTTCATCTCAAGATCTACCCAGTGTAGGCAGACCTCAGTTGTCAAGTACAAAAGCTGATAGCTTAAAGAACCACATAGGGAAATTATTTGATGTGAATATTCTATTAGGAATAATCTCTGTTCAAGCCAGTTTCTCTTTAGCTCTCATAATGAGACAAGGTAAAGGAACTGAGGGGAGCTACCCCCAAATGGATCCTCTTCTAACCTTGCCAGAAAGAGCGATGAACTGTCCTGGTAAAATGAGGAGGTTGGAAGCAAACTGACTTAAAAGCATTATAGGGCAAATATAGTGAAAGAGAAAAGTAAGATATAAAATTGGATATGCAGTATGATCTGAAGTTTGTAAAGTTAAAGTATGACCTAGAAGAAAAATTTCCATATGATTAACAGTGGTTGTTTCCAAATGGCATGATGAGTGATAGTTTTCTTCTGCATACTTTTTACTTTTCTGTATTTCCCAAATTTTTATAATGAGCAGTTTTTAGATGGTGAAGGAAAAAGAAAGATAGTTGATTACTTTTAAGTTTAAACCCATGAGTTCATAGTGAAACTTAGGATAAAAACAAATTGATCCTTGTTTCTAGGGAACCAACTCATTATTTCATAATAGGATTCCTTTATTCTGCCTTTCTTTTATGAGCTATACCACTGAGGACCAAATAGTGGATGAAAGGAAACTTATCTTTTTTTTTTTAATTTTTCCCCCCAAAGCCCCAGTAGATAGTTGTATGCCATAGTTGCACATCCTTGTAGTTGCTGTTATGTGGGACACGGCCTCAGCATGGCCGGAGAAGCAGTGCGTTGGTGCGCGCCCGGGATCCGAACCCGGGCCGCCAGTAGCGGAGCGCGTGCATTTAACTGCTAAGCCACAGGGCCGGCCCGGAAACTTATCTTTATAAAACTATTTTGGCTAACAAATGAAGAAGGAATGACAGAATAGTACCATTTTGAAACCACTAATGAATTAATAGATTCATTAAGCACTAAACATTAACAGCTGCTGACATCACTAAAACAGAGACAGTCTAGCATTACATACTTCCTATTCTTACAATACATTATCATCTATGAAGGAGTTTTGCCAAAAAAAAATTGAACCTGAATCTAATCAAGCCTCTAGGTACAGCTATCAAATTATAGAATTATAGAACATATATATATGACAGATGAACATGTTAAATGACCCTTTGAGATGGAGTCAGCAAAATCTAGACCATGAGAAAGCTATAGGCAAACAACTTACATTCTTCATAAATTGCAAAGGATAAAAAAGAGATTAGAAGGAACTTTAGAGTAGGAAAGACTTAAAAGATGTATCAGTGAGTCTCAATGTATGGACCTTATTTGGATTCTGATTTTTTTTTTAAAAAAACTGTAAAAAACAGTGTATATTTAATAATATTAAGGAGTTACTGTCCATCCTCTTAAGTGTGGTAAGAGTCCTTATCTTTTAAAGATAGGTACTGACCTATTTATTGATCATGATGTCTTCAATTTGCTTCAGTAATATGAGAGGGGAAGAGGGAGTGGCTGGCAGTATGGTTGGGGAAGATAGTCCAAATGGTTGTTGGGGCTGGGTTTGTGTATGTTTGAAAAGTCTTCTTGATAGTTTGCTTTTAACGTATCGAAAATAAGTTTATTTTTATTTATTTATTTTTTGTGAGGAAGATTAGCCCTAAGCTAACATCCGATGCCAGTCCTCCTCTTTTTGCTGAGGAAGACTGGCCCTGGGCTAACATCTGTGCTCATCTTCCTCTAGTTTATACGGGATGCCGCTACAGCATGGCCTGACAAGCGGTGCGTCGGTCCACGCCCGGGATCCAAACCTGCAAACCCCGGGCCGCCAAAGTGGAGTGCACAAACCTAATCGCTAGGCCACCGGGCTGTCCCCCAAAATAAGTTTTAAAAAATTAGAAAACTATATTGGGAACCTGGCCACACATTTTCTCGTCAGCCCTTTATATAGATGGGCATTGGTTCAGCATTGGAGATTACTCCCCAAAGATAGCTCTCCCTGTCTGTGACCTGCCCAGGACTTTTCTTCCAAGTTCGTAGCCAGTAAAAACTGGCTTGTTTGTTGTCCTTCCCCTGGTTAAATATTTTAGAGACAGTAGCTTTTTTGACAGAGTCCTTTAAGTATTGGACGGTGGAGATGTTAAATGGGCAGTGCTGTTTTAGAGAATCAGTGGTGCCGTGGCACACTCAGGCTTATGGCATGCAAAATGGTCCTGGAGCCTCCCCTGGAGAGAGGCTTGCAGAGCCTTCATTGACTAGGCTGGGGAATCTGCGGGGAGAACAGAAAGACAAGTGCAGAAGCTCACAGTGGGGATGGACAGTCTACATTCTCTCTGAGCTCTTATAGAGATTTTCTCCCCTATTCACTCTCCTTCTTAGAGACATTTAAAAAAAACTAGGTACAAGGACAAATAAGAAGTCTTTTTTTTTTTGGTGAGGAAGATCAGCCCTGAGCTAACATCCGATGCCAATCCTCCTCTTTTTGCTGAGGAAGACTGGCCCAGGGCTAACATCTGTGCCCATCTTCCTCCACTTTATATGGGACACTGCCACAGCATGGCCTGACAAGTGGTGCATCGGTGCGCACCCAGGATCCGAACCCGGGCCGCCAGCAGCAGAGCGCACACACTTAACTGCTACGCCACAGGGCCGGCCCCGTGTCTTTCTTTTTTTAATATAAAATGTGGTTAAGGTTATGGAAGACTTAAATTTAAGAATTGAAGTTTAAAAATTAAAATTAGATAAATTAATGAAATAAATCACTTATTTAACAACAGTTTATAGGAAAAGCTAAAAATGAGAATAGAAATAATTTATATAAGATAGAAACTAGACGTATAATTCCAGAAAAAAGATTGAGTTTAAAAATGATAAGTAAATGAGGAAATAGAGAGTGAAAAATAAATAAACCTAGCATCTAGATGTTGGTTTTTGATACCATTCCCCACTAAAAGAAACCAGGGCTCCTTGGAGAAATGGCTGATGCTAGGACTGGTGCAGGAAATACACAAGTTGAGCCTGGAGTATCTTCTAGTGCCAGAAAGTTAGAAAATGCTAAAACACAACCCCAAACCAAAACCAAATAAGAACACAATGATCAGGATATGGCAAAGGGGCACAGGAGCCAATATAAAGAGCTCCCAATGGCCAAAGCTGGAACAACTTGAGCGAAAAAATAAAAGTCATATTGGATTATAAACCAAAGTATAAAATAAATATCCATGTGTTCATACTGATATAAATGAATGGTCGAATAAATAGGGAATAATTCCCTCATGCAGAATAATTCCAAATAATTTATGTAGCTACTCGGCCTGGAGCATAACTCCTTGCTCCTTAATTGTGGGCTGCACATAGTGAACTTTTTCCAAAGATATAGTATAGAAAGGGGGGAAAGAGTAACCTTACAGTGGAGAACTCAACAAACACTACTGCAAGCCGGGTGATCAAAATCAGTTTATAATAAATAAAATTAAAAGTTTATTATAAATGAAATTTTAAACAGAAAGCTCAAAGCTTGCTTAGATTTAAAATATATATAGGAAACTGAGAAGTAAAATTAATATAAAGCAAAACAATATTAAGAAAAACTGTAAAATGAAGATAACTAACAATTAAGTTATATATAGCAGGGGGAAAAAAGTGCCGGAAGTTTTTGATTATGAGGGTCCCTCAGGAAGATCCGGAGGTTCAGAAGCTAGCTTCTCAGGGAAATAAGTGTCAGCTTGGGCTTCTTGCTTTATGATAGAGAAACGGGGGCCAAGAGCCTGCTATTGCTTTCTTCATCCTTGGAGCTTCATGCTCTTAGCCCTTTTTCCCTTTCTTTTCTTTTTCATCCTCAGTCCCCACCTGCACCAATCCTTTTCAGTGGGAGAACCGTCTTAGGTTCTGAAGCACATACAGCTGACTCTAAAAATTCAGTGTTCATGTAGTAAAGCCTTAATGAGCACTGACTGTGTGACTGGCATTATGCCAGGTACTGCTTGGAAGATGAAAAGCAGCTTAATTTTGGAGACAGGTTGAAGAGTCTACTAAGTAATTCTCTGCTGTTGTTCCTTTATATTATATTCCACACTGCCAATAAAAATAATGAAATGAGGATATTCTTATTTTTAGGTGCAAATATCCTGCGAGATTCAACAGGCAATGTCAAACTAGGAGATTTTGGGGCCAGCAAACGGCTTCAAACCATCTGTCTTTCAGGGACAGGAATGAAGTCTGTCACAGGCACACCATACTGGATGAGCCCTGAAGTAATTAGTGGAGAAGGCTATGGCAGAAAAGCAGATATCTGGTAGGTTTTGATGCCGGATTTGCCTGCTTTCTTATGTATTGCCACACAGGATGGAAATTACTGAGCCAGATTTAAATTATCTTTTGTACTTTTGAAATAGGATGTCAGGATTACAATGATTAATAGCATTTGAAATATGCCTCTTTGAAGCTTAATAATTGACTAAATAAATAGAGTCTTTGAACCTGTCTTCCATTCTTTAGGAAGGATTTCGTCTTAAGCAAACTTCAGCATTAGAAAGCTATCTTCAGTTTATTTCCCTGAAGAACTGTAAAAGTAATTAATCTTTATTGTTAGTCTTTTATAATTCACTTAGTCTTTAATTGCTTCATAATTTTGAGTTAGAACATAAAATGGCCATTTCCTGCTTTCCACCCAGAAAAGTGTTTAATAGATATTCATTTTAGGCACCTAAAGGCAAACAAAGAATTTCTAATGTTTGTATTCTTTTTAAGATAAAGACAAAAAGCTATATTTAATGTTAGAGCATTATAAAATTATAAAAATTATAAAATGAATAATGTTCTTTGCCTAACCATTTGAGTCAATCCTTAAATTGTGGTTTATTTTCATTGATTTTTATGTTTAAATTACAGTTTTATATAATTATAACCTTTTAATGAAACTTGAAACTTGAAATCAAGTTGTATTTTAAATATGCATGGACTTCGCTCCTGTTTCTCATTTTGTAGTTAACTTGCTTTCTTTCATGATGATATAGTTTGTGTAATGTATTATTATTTTTTTATTTCCTTTTCAGGAGTGTTGGCTGTACTGTGGTAGAAATGCTAACTGAAAAGCCTCCTTGGGCGGAATTTGAAGCGATGGCTGCAATCTTTAAAATTGCCACTCAGCCAACAAACCCAAAGCTGCCACCTCATGTCTCAGACTATACTCGAGATTTCCTCAAACGGATCTTTGTAGAGGCCAAACTGAGACCTTCAGCTGATGAACTCTTAAGGCACATGTTTGTGCATTATCACTAGCAGCCAGTAACCTCTCCTGTGCCTCTACCCAGCTCCCATCTATTCATTCACCTTCTCTCTGACTGCACTTTTCTTTTTTATGAAAAAGAGAGATGGGGGAGAAAAGAAGACAAGAGGGAAAGTGTTTCTCTTGATTCTTGGTTAAATTTGCTTAATAATAATAGTAACCTAAATTTTTTATATTTAATCTTTTTTTCCCTTGCAAGAACTTGAAACTTTTTTTTTTTAATTTTTATAATGTACTGATGTGGTTCAGAGAGATAAAGCACTTTAGTACATAGTCACTCTTTTTAGTACAAATCATTTGGAATACCTAAAGATTGTAGAGTCTTTCCCTGTGTCACTGACAGAATGGTGGTGATGGGGAGACACGAAAAACAAGGAGAAGAAAATGATGTATAATTTGTAGTTTTTAGTGATAATATTTAAAGTAGATCCTCATTTGTGGGGTTGAGCCCTAAACTTGAGTTTAGGGTAGGTACTCAACTTAAAGAATATAGGTTCCTTCTTATATCTGTATTCTTTAGATCCTAACCTCTGTCTACCAAGCTTTTTGCTCAGTAGGAATCTTGATAGAAAATATGAATCTCTAAGAGGTATGTTTATTTGTTAATCCTAACCAGTATAATAAGCAAATACACTATAACAGATCCATGTTACTGGAATCTATAAACCTTGAGGGATAGCTTTCTGATTGAAAAAAAAGAGATCAAGCAGATATGGGAGTCGGTGAGCAAATCTAAATTAAAAGACAAAAGGAGATTGCTCTAATTAAATGTGTGAGTAGTAGAAGAGACCACATTTGCCAGACAACAGAAATAACGAAGAACTAAATGTTGTTTAATATATTTTAAACTATGTTCATTACTTGAGGAAAGTCCCAAAATTAAGGGAAAGGAGAAATAATCAAAATCACGTATACCATATCTTTCGGTTTCCAGCTCCTGATTCCCCATAGACAACATTCTTTAGGAACTAAGAGTTTAACCCAGAGTGTCCATGTGTTAAAGCTAGTGTCATGAGATAAAACCCTTGTTCTCAGGATCACAGACTACTAAAGCACCTCAAAAAACAGTTATGATGTGAAACAGTGGTTCTCAAGGGCGGGGTGGGGGGGAAATTTTGCTTGGCATTTGGCAATGCCTGGAAACATTTTTGGTTGTCAAAACTAGGAGGATGCTAGTGGCATCAAGTGAGTAGAGGCTAGGCATACTGCTAAACAAACTACAATGCACAAGGACAGCAGCCCGCCCCTGCCGCTCCCCCACAAAGAATTATCCTGCCCAAAATGTCAATAGTGCCGAAGTTGAGAAACCCTTATGTAAAGACCAGCTCCAGTTATAAACTGAAAACAGCCATTTACAAAGCAAGTTCCTTGCAAAAAGTAAATTTCAGAGAGAAAGTGATGTAATGCATAGTGAGGATTTTACAAGAGCAGATACCTCTACTTCAAGTCAAGGGTCAGTGATCTCAACAAACAGCAAATAGCAATCCTGTCCTTACCAGCTGTGTATTGCACCCAAATCAGTATCTTCCATTTTACAAATGAAATGAGTTTAAACACGGAGCCTATTGAACTCAGCCATCTGTATAGATTCTTTCCTCAAAAGTCAATTCATTATTGTGGGAAAAGAAAAGCATATCAAAACAAAGTATAACAACTTCATAGGAAGATTAAAAACTGCCAGGTATTTCTAGTATAATATATCCATTAAGAGCAAGTGGAAGGTGACAGCTGGGAAAGTCCCAGTATCTCTGAGGGACTTGTGCTACTGAAAAACATGAATGATATCAGTAATTTGGCCACTTGCAGTTTTTTTTCAGCAGATTAAAGCAAGTGCTAAGTACTTTATTTTTAAAGATCTAGAAAATAGTAGTCTTCCTGGAGGCCCTAAATGTGATACCTTTCATGGGATTCACAAAGGACTCAGGTGTTTTATTTTCTGCTACAAGTTATGCTCTTTTAGGGACTCTTTTTTTTTTTTGAAACACTTTGTTTCTGAAGTTAGGTATTTTACTGTATCAGGGTCCTATCTGGCATTCCCTGTAGGAATATTTGAAATTCCATTTGCTAGTCTGAGAAGAAGTCAAAGCACAAATTAGTTGTCAAAGCTTCTCCTATCCCTTATACTCAAAGGAAGCAGCTTGTAAGGAAGAATATGAATTAGTGGCCCCCTCCTCCTAGAAAATCAACTGCCAAATCTTGTGCTATAAACATAGTCCCCAAGGATGTGGATCTATTATAATTTCTTTATCTTTTATGAGTGAAGGCATCTCTTCTACTTGAGCAAGATCATGGTATCTGGACCAGTGGGCTTTTCCTTCGTTTCTTTGTCTTGTGTGGTTGTGATTTCCTTTTGGCTCATTTTTGGTCTGTCAGGGTAAGCAGCAGTGCAGAAGATGAGACAGTGCTCTTTAGACAGAAATCTTGGGAGACTGTGAAGTCCAAAGCAAAATTATTTGCTTTTTTCAGTCTCTTATTTTTCTTTTCTAAATGCTATAGAAAATAAAATCACCTGAAAAGAAACTACTACTTTAACACTGCTGCAGAAGACTTTGTTTTATAAGAAAACTATTATTAGCTATGGGAAAGTATTGTTCTTTATGTAAAGACTTAAAAATAGACTAATAGTTTACAGAATTATTATATAAAATGTGATGTGAATTTATTTCAAACAAGTTGTAAAGGTACCAAAAACCACAATAAAAGTTAATATATATAAAAACTACTAAACAAAAAAAGCTTGAAGTGGGGTGAGGTATGGAAGACCAAAAGTACATTTAAAAAAGAAAATTTTGAAAGGAAACACCTCTATCAGGGGCAGTTAAATATAACACTCCAGTTTTTTCTTTCTAATAATGGTGTGGATCAACAAATGAAATTTGAACTTTTAAAGATGACTCTAAATGTATTTTGTTTTTTAAATGCATAACTGATTCTTCTATACTGTAATGTTTCTTTGCTGAGGCTGGAAAATGGCCAGACTGCTGACTTTGTGCCTTTAAAATGCATTCTGCTTTGATAGTGGCAGACTTTTTTGGTGCTGGAGAAGATTCACTAGCAGTCTTAGATGTGCTTTTCAGGAAATATCTTTCTCCTTAGGCCTTGAGAGACTCAAAATGGCATGACTTAGGCTTGGACCAAATATAAGATCTTTTACATTGCAAACAAAGTGTATTGAATAAAAAGATTGAAAAATATCATAATGACTAGTGGAAATTTTGATGGTTGGTAATTCTTTAAAATGTATTTAAAAGTATACAGACTTTGAAATTTTCAATATGACTATCTTAAAAATTTTCAAATTTTCCTCATTTACAGAACATGTTTCTAACTTGAAAAATGGTTAAAGACTATTCCCTTAGAAAGTTTTCAAAGCACAGTCAACCTTACATAATTTATATAAGAGATTGAAATGCTAATACACAGGGTGAACTATAAAATAAAAATTAAAACTTATTTCAGAGTAAGTTGAATTGGCTTTGACTTGAGAGAGTCTTTATCTTATTCCCAATAGAAACTACATTAAAAAAGTAAAATTACTTCTTTAGAGTAGGCTTCTGCTACTTTAGCTCTTATATATGTCAGGTCTAGTGTGTAGTATTTCTGAGATGGAGTTGATATAAGATACATGAAATCACTAAGAAAATCAAATCTGAATAGTTTATAGGGACAACCAAGCTTGGGTGCAAAAGCCAAGATGTTCGCCAGATGTGAACTCCTTGGCCCCCGGCAAAGTTCTGTGCCAATGATTTCATTTGGCGTCTAGGGACCAATAGCTTGATATAAAATCACCTGGTGTCAATCAAGTATAGGAATCTATCAATTTTTTGTAAATAGAGTGAATCTTTTTCATTTGCTTATTCAATAATTGTGGCTTATTGTGTCAGGTACTAAATTAACTTATCCTTAAGGAGGTCGCAGTCTAGGAGGAAACATGGGCAAACAGATAGTTACTTACTTTATGGTATACCCTAACTCTGAAAGTTTAGCAATGATGTTTTAAAATGCTATTATTTTTTATGAAGTGAGGGAAAAGCAATTTTGTATATTCATTGGCTATTATAAACTAAAATGTCATTAACAACAGGGATTAAAAGTATCCCCAAGTTGGAGGGACCCCCATAGATCACGCAGCCTCTCTCTCAGGACTCCCTCTTACAAAACCTAGCCTCTGCTCAAACAGTTCCAGTGATGGGGGGCATTTATTACATAACATAGTGTTTTTTTCTTGCTATTTCTTTTAAAGAAAAAAAAAATTTCTTTTGGTCTAAATTGTTAAAATACCCAAAATATTTGATAGAAATTGAATTCTGTCAACAGTGTTATTTATACTAAGATCAGGACAATTTCTTGAGACCTTATTGTCTTATATTAAGTTGGGCCTTTGTTACAAAGGTAATGTTCATATTTATTTGAATTTTAAGATTGGTTAAATGTTAATGAAAAGCAATTGTTAATTTTTGGTAGTGCCTTTTTCTCTGTATGCCTTAATTTTATTTTATATCAATAATAATTCAAGTTAGCCACCAAAATGAAGGTTTTTCCAAAATCAGTAGGCTTCAAGAGTTCATTTGGCCTTAGACTGTGTATTGCCCCTTAAACATTTCATCATGCCTGCTTCCTCCTCCTTCCCTTTTCTACCTCTTTTTTTTTTTTTTTTTTATGTTAGAAGAGAAACATTAGTATTAGTCTGAGATAGACACACTGTAGTCTCCACTAGGCATGAATTCCTAAGATAAGGATAGAAAGAGGTATTCTAATTCTAAAGAGACATAGTAAATTGTTTTTCAGGTTGATTACTTGATTTTCAATCACATTGGCACTGTCCAAATTCTTTGTATATCATGTTAGTTATGATTTTCATAGCAGAGCTAGAATGGTTGTATTTGCCCTAAAGAGGTCGTTTAAATGGTTTACAGATGTTAAGGCAATGAGACTTAGGGCAGTGAGCAAGAAATCCAGGGATAGCAAATTCTAATCCTTACTTTTTAACTAACATTTTGACTAAAACTCTAGCTTACTTTTCTGTGAAGTGTGTGTGTGTGTATGTGTGTGTGTTTGCAGTTGGGGCAGGGGTGGGAAGGAAGGAAAGATATGAATGTTCAATTAGATTAGTCTTTGTTCTTGGAAGAACAACTCAAATGTGTATGACCTACTGATGATGGATGAGTGTAATCGTCCTCAGGTAGGAATGCCAGCACATTTTCCAGAAGTAGCTAGTACAAATGATTGTTTAATAGAGGTATTTATTTTAAATTGCCAAGCTCTTGGTTGCTAAAAGTAGATTAAAATTGAATTTGTGTGTGTGTATAATAGTGAGCTTTATATATAATTCTTAAATAGAAAGTAATTGATTTTGCATAATTCTTCATGAACTCTTTGGAATAGAAATTCTGCCAGATGTTATCAAAACAAGCTTCCTTAGCTTACCAAGTGTTTGAAAGGAAATTGTCTTATACCTCTTTTTGGTTGGCTAGGGAAGGCATGCTGTGAAGCCACTGTTTCTTCTTTGTAGTCTTCTTTGGCTTTGCTTTGACTTCTGCCACAGTCTGCACAGGATGCCAAAATAGGTGTGAGAAGTATCAGGGCCAACTATTTTCCGTACTCACCTTTCAGAGCTGTAGATGGTACTGAGCTCTCAGGGGAGTCCAGAGGCTCTCAGGGGAGTCCAGAGACTCTTGGTGATAGTGAGAGTGGATAGTTTAGTTTCAGAAAATTGAGGGAGAAGTCTTAGCTATAGTAAAGAGAAGAATACATTTTATCTATTACCTATCTCATGTAATTCATATTTTTCATAATTGTGCATTTTAATCGACAGTAATGATATTTTTATTAATAACAGCCAAGGCATTAAATCAGTGAGTACTATTATTCCCTATGACTGATGACTTCTTGTTTGTATTCACAGTCTGTATTATCAGAATCACTTTAAAACCAAAGCTTTTATATTCCCTGCACACATAGCCAAAATGATTAGCACTGTTGCTTCTGCCCACCTGTAAGCTAACAGTATAAAAATGATAAAGCAGGTACTAGTAGAATTTCTATGTCAATCTATCCTTCAAGTAAAAGGACAGGTGCTCAGTGTTTGCATTTAGACGTGCAGAATTTACTTCAACTCTTACGGAATCATATGGACATTATGAACTTGAGCTCGTACGTGTGCCAATCTTATTAACGTCACTTGACCATAGATGCATATACATACACATTGACATATGATGCCTCAGGTTGGTGGCATACTTTCTTTCCAGTGTCTTAACATTTATGAACTTGTGTTTGACTTGAGGGGCATTTCAGGAAAGCTGTGAAGAAAAGTAGGTTATAGACAGATGTCTGCTTTGTGCCATAGAAATTTTGGAACATAAAGAAGAGTCTGCTCTCTAGTATACATGCAGAATTTGTCCCAAATAAGGATTTCTGAGTCCCTTAATGCCAGTTGAGAACAGTAAAGTTTAAAGCACTTTTGTGTTCACTTATTTATATTTTTTTAGAATTTATTTTTTAAAAGCATATGTAAGTAGTGGTGATTTTAGCATTAGCATTACTTGGAGGGGAGAGATAAGTAACAAAATTACATCTTAAACTCTATTAGATACTTAGATGCCAAAATGGATTTGACATATTCTCATTTTTCCAGAGACTTTTTTCCACCTGGAATAAGAAGGGAAGATTAGTGGAAACATTTGAGCTGGAAATGGCTTATGGGCAAAAGAAAGTGGGCCAAACCCTTGCAATATACCCTGTTCAAGTGAAGGGACAGTGTCTAAGGATAAGAATACTTCTTTAAAAACAAACAATTGTTTTTAATACAATCTTAATTAGTAAGTAAAAGGTTTACATTTTTTCTATTGCTATTGGTTTTAAAATTTGCTACCCTGCATTCTGAAATATTATAAAAGAGTTAATACCAAAAATACTTTTAATGTCTGACATCTCTTACATTTCACATGGTTTTTTTAATTCAAATATCATTGTAAATAAACGCAAACTTGGATAAATTTGAGAATAAACTTTTAATTGTTGCAAACTATGAATATCAATTTGTAAATTTACCCTTTGACCTAATGTACATTTTTAAATGTAGCCATTAAATTCTCTATATTTAATCTATTAGTTTCTCTCTGTAAACGTTTTTAATCTCATTTGAATGCTGGGCAGTTTATAATTATGTACAAATGTGTTTTTTTCCTATCAAGGTTGACTTTTTTGCACATTTTTGGAAATGTTTAATTTGTACACTGATTTACTACTCTGACCAATAATTGTTGATGGGTGTATGAGCATCATGAATGTGTGCATTGAACTACTGTCTATGTCTCTGTGTTTTAACTTCTTTCAAGATGTAGCCATCAGTAACTGCACTGCTATTACTGACTTAAATGGACCTTCTTGCTTTTACAAAGTATACTTCTCTATGGTTCTATCTTTGTTGAAGAACTCAGGAGTTCAACATCACTTTCTGATTTTATATGTATTCTAAAATCCACGAGTAAGTTGAAAGTATGCTTGTAACTCTGCGTATCAGGGGATGTGTGCATGGAGATGTCTTTTTCTGTCTGTAGGCACATGTATATAACCCAGTAATTTCTTATTTTCATTTCATTTCTACATTTTTATGAACTTGTTTTATAAGGGTACTGTTTAGTTAGAATAATTAAATATATATAAAAGCTTTCTGAGAGATTATTTACTATATGAATATATTTTCAGCTGGCTGATCAAAAATATTTTTTTAATTTTGTTTTTAACCATGCAAAATGTATTTGTATTTCCAGACTTGGATGCAGATTTACTTAGATATCAATTAAAATACTCTTGCAAGAAAGAGCATTGAATTCTCTTTTGAGGATTCTATGAAATGCAAATTAAGAGGAAAAAATAGGTTTTAAGCAGTAGCAAAAACCCACTATCCACTAAAACGGCCTTTGAATTCTCAGAGCTATGAAAAAATGTGAGGAACTAAATTATCTTTAAGAGATATCAAGATGTTTTATCTCCAGTTGCTGTTGGCCTATCGTCCTCTTGTTTTTGAATATTTTCTTTATTCTACCCCAAAGATTTCAACTTTTAGTTTTTCTCTTACTGGGCAAGGTCAGACTGAATTTATAAAACAATACATTGACATATTGTGATTCTCTGTAATTAACTATAAATTGGTTTAGAAATGTCCAAACAGGCATTGTGTCTTAATACTGTACTGTGTATTTTAAGTAACTGGCAGAAAAAGAATTGGAAATTAAATTTCCAATCTGATAATGTTATTGTACCTTAGGAAAACCTTGTTTTTAATATGCGGTACCATGTAAAATTACTTGTGTTAGGAATAAAGTCCACTGTTGAAGTTGAATGTCACTAAGTTTATTATGTTACAAGGAGCCAGTATGATTAGAAAAACCTACCAGAAGCCAGATATAGTGTGGTATGTGCCACATTTCATACACATTTTGACTTTGTGTTGTTCATTCAAAATTGTGCTTGTAAAAATGTATAAAATTTCTGAGTTTTACGATTTTTATGTACTTTTTCTTGCTGGTAAATAGCTTTTTTTTTTAATGTGAAAGAAACCATGTTTATATTTTGTTAGTGATCAATGACTTTGTTTATATGGAAATTTGTATATTGTTGGCACACATCTTTGTTTAGATTTATTGTGCATGAAGGCCTGCAATAATTAGCACAATGAAAATTGCTTTTTCTTACATGTTCATTTTTTGAAAGATTGAGGTGCAAAGGCTTACTCTAAGTAACCTTCTGGACTATGGAATGAATATAAATGAATGGCACTTTGAGTGTTAATAAAGCTGATATTTATTTCCACTGTCATCCTTTTGTCCAGATCTGTTCTTGGACACAGTGTATTCGCAGTTGTCCCTCCTTTGCCTGAGTCGATTACTTTCTAGGAGAACAAGAACAGACTAACCTAGAAACACTGCAACTAAATCTTTTCAGGATATGTCTATAACGTCCTACCCAACATGCTCTGGCATATCTTTTTCTGGACACTTTGATTACCCAAATCAGAAATTAGCAGTGATTAAAAACAAACAAAAACAAAGCCTGCTGTCAGAGTGTAAGGAATGGATGCTCCCACAGGACGAGCTCATTTACATTAATACCTTCATAGGGCAACTTAGCAATGCAAGTTATATGTCCTCTGACCCAGCATTTCTCTATCTAGAAACTAATCCTGAGGAAATGATTGCAGATGTGCTAAGATATATCTATAAAAGCCCAAAGTGGAGGCTCTACTTGTCCAACAATAGGGGCTATTGTAACAAAGTACCACAAACGGGGTGGCTTATAACAGAAATTTATTGTCTCAGCTCTGGAGGCTAGAAGTCTGAAATCAAGGCGTCATAAATCATGGTGTCAACTCTCTGTTCCCTCTGAAACTTGTAGGGGAATGCTTCCTCACCTCTTTTTTTTTTTAAATTATTTTATTGTGGTCGTATTGGTTTATAACATTGTGTAATTTCAGGTGTACATTATCAGTTTCTGTATAGACTCCATCTTGCTCACCCCCGATAGTTGAGTTTTTATCTGTCACCATACGTGTGCCCCTTTACCCCTTTTGTCCTTCCCCCCTCCACCCCTTTCCTCTCTGGTAACCACCAATCTGTTCTCTTTATCCATGAGTCTGTTTATCTTCCACATATGAGTGAAATTATAAGGTGTTTGTCTTTCTCTGTCTGGCTTATTTCACTTAATACCCTCAAGGTCCATCCATGTTGTCGCAGATGGGACGATTTAGTCTTTTTTTATGGCTGAGTAGTATTCCATTGTATATGTATGCCACATCTTTATCCATTCGTCCACTGATGGGCACTTGGGGTGTTTCCACGTCTTGGCTATTGTGGGTAATGCTGCAGTGAACATAGGGGTACGTAAGTCTCTTTGTATTGTTGATTTCACGTTCTTAAGAGTGAAATCGTATCAAGCATCTTTTCCAACCACAATGCTATGAAACCAGAAATCAACTACAAGAAAAAAGCTGGGAAAGTCACAAATATGTGGAGACTAAACAACACACTACTGGAAAACCATCGCATCAATGAAGAAATCAAAAGAGAAATAAAAAATTACCTGGAAACAAATGAAAATGAAAACACAACATACCAACTCTTATGAGATGCAGCAAAAGTGGTATTAAGAGGGAAATTTATAGCTATACAAGCCTACCTCAACAAACAAGACAAATCTCAAGTAATTTAAACCACACCTAACAGAACTAGAAAAAGAAGAACAAACAAAGCCCAAAGTCAGCAAAAGGAGGGAAATAATAAAAATTAGAGCAGAAATAGAGACTAAAAAAACAACAGAAAGGATCAATGAAACTAAGATCTGGTTCTTTGAGAAGATAAACAAAATTGACAAACCCTTAGCCAGACTTACTAAGAAAAAAAGAAAGCCTCTCATATTTTAATTTTAGCAGTAAGGAGAAACCAGGCCACACCTTTAACCTTTCCTTAGAAATCTTTTCAGCTAAATATCCAAGTTCATTGCTTACAAGTTCTACCTTCCACCCAACAGAACACAATTCAGCCAAGTTCTCTGCCACTGTATGACAAAGATTGCCTTTCCTCTAGTTTCCAATAACATATTCCTCATTTCCATCTGAGTGCTCAGCAGAATCACCTTTAATGTCCATGTTTCTACCATCAGTCTCTTCAAGGCAGTCTAGGCTTTTTCTATCATGCATCTCAAAATTCTTTCAGCCTCTAACCATTACCCAATCCCAAAGCCATTTCCACATTTTTAGGTGTTTGTTACAGCAGCACCCCACTTCCCTTTACTAAAATCTCTACTAGTCAGGGTCTCCAGAGAGGCAGAACTCCTCTGTTGCATTCCGGAGGCAGAATTCCTTTTTCCTTGGGAAACCTGTCTTTGCTCTTAAGGCTTTCAACTGATTGCATGAGGCCCACCCACATTATTGAGGGTATTCTGCTTTACCTAAGTCGGCTGATTATAAATGTTAATTATATCTAAAAAATACCTTAATAGCAACATCTAGACTGGTGCTTGACTAAACAACTGGACACCACAGCCTAGCCAATTTGACACATAAAATTAACCATCACAGGGACTGAGCAAATAAATTGTGGTATATCCATACAATGGAACTCTTCACCATATATGATTGACTGAAAGAAAGCAATTTACATGAGATGCATAGTATGATCCCACTTTTGGTTTAACAATAGTTAGAAAAAAATATTGGGAGAATATATACTTCACTCAAGTGGTGGTGGAGTTATGAGTGGTTATTGTTTTTGCTTATCTATAATTTTTAAACTTTTATAATAAACGTGGGTGTTTTTGCTTAGTACAACATATTTTCTTTTTTCCCCAGCATTATTGAGATATAATTGACATATAACATTGTGTAAATTTGAGGTGTACAACGTGTTGATTTGATACACTTATGTACTGGAAAATGATTACCACCACCGCAATATCTGTCATGTCACATAATTACCATTTCCTTTTTTTGTGGTGAGAACATCAAGATCTACTCTCAGCAACTTTCAAGTATATAATACAGTATATTAACTGTAATCACCATCCTGTATGTTAGATCCCCAGAAGTTAATCATCTGCTAACTGGACATTTTACTCTTTGACCAACATCTCCCCATTCCCTGCCACCCCCTAGCCCCTAGTAACTACCACTCTATTCTATGTTTTTATAAGTCCAGATTTTTTTAGATTTTACATATAAGCGAGATCATACAGTATTTGTCTTTCTCTGTTTGACCTATTTCACTTAGCATAATGCCCTTAAAGTCCATCCATATTGTCGCAAATGGCAGGATTTCCTTATTTCTCATGGCTGAATAATATTCCATTGTATATATATATACCATATCTTTATCCATTCATTCCTTGACAGACACTTAGGTTGTTTCCATATCTTGACTATAGTGAATAATGCTGCAATAAACATGAGAGTGCAGATATCTTTTCGAGATCCTGTTTTCATTTCCTTTGAATATATATCCACAAGTGGTATTGCTGGATCATACAATAGTTCTATTTTTAATTTTTTGAGGAACCTCCATGCTGTTTTCCATAGTGGCTGTGCCAATTTACACTCCCACCAGCAGTGCACCAGGGTCCTCTTTTCTCCACATCCTTGCCAACATTTGCTATCTCTTGTCTTTTTGATGGTAGCCATTCTAACAAATGTGAGGTGATATCTCATTGTGGTTTTGATTTGCATTTCCCTGATGATTTGTGATGTTGTGTCCTTTCATGTACCTGTTGACTATTTGTATGTCTTCTTTGGAAAAATGTCTGTTCAGTCCCTCTGCCCATTTTTATATTGGATTGTTTGTTTTTTTTGTATTGAGTTGTATACCGTCTTTATATAATTTGGATATGAACCCCTTATCAGATATATGGTTTGCAAATATTTTTTCCCATTCCATAGGTTGCCTTTTCATTTTGTTGATTGTTCCTTTTGCTGTACAGAAGCTTTCTAGTTTGTTGTAGTCCCACTTATTTATTTTTGCCTTTGTTGCTTGTGCTTTTGGTGTCATATCTAAAGAATCATTGCCAAAACCAATGTCAAGGAGTTCTTTCTCTGTTTTTTTTTCCTATGAGTTATATAGTTTCAGGTCTTATATTTAAGTCTTTAACCCATTTTGAGTTAACTTTTGTGAGTGGTGTTATTTAGGGGTCCAATTTCATTTTCTGCATGTGGTTATCCAGTTTTTCCAACACTATTTATTGAAGAGACTATCCTTTCCCCATTGAATTTTCTTGTCAAATATTAGTTCACAAAACATTTTTTTGTTTTTATTTTCTTATTTTTCCAGATTTATTAAGGAATAATTGACAACTAAAATTATATATATTTAGGTGTACAATGTGATGATTTGATATATGCATACACTGTGAAATAATTACCACAATCAAGTTAATTAACACATCCATCACCTCACATAGCTAATTCATTGTGTGTGCGTGTGTCTGTGTGTGTGTGGTGCTAACTCTTAAGATCTACTCTCAGCAAATTTCAAGTATACAATACATTATTAACTACAGTCACCATGCTGTACATTAGATCTTCAGAACTTATTCTTCTTAAAACAGAAAGTTTTTACCCTTTGACCCATCTACATTTAAAGTAATTATTGATAAATAAGAACTTACTATTGCTTTTTGTTAATTGATTTCAGATAGTTTTGTAGTACTTTTGTTCCTTTCTTCCATCTTGCTGTCTCACACAAAATATTTTCTTAATGTTAGATTAGCCATTCTTCCTCATCATCTTCAGTAAAATTAACCAGGTTTGGCAGAAAGAGCTTTAAAAAAAAAGGCCATATGTTTAATCCACTATTTCTATTTCTCAGAATTTGCCTTAAAAAAACAATCCCAGATGCAGTTAAAGACTTATATCCAATGATATTCATCACAGGGCTATGTATAATAGGATAAACTGGAACTATCCCAATGCCCCAAAATTAGGGTTTGACTAAATAAATTATAATACTGCCATACAATGGAAAATTAAGTACTCATTAAACATTCATTTTAATGAGGGGTGGATAAAGCTTATGTTAGAAGGATATAAAATTATATGTTCAAATAACATCTTCATGGTGTAAAAAGAGCAACTCACAGAAAAAAAGCCTGGAAGAAAATAACCCAAAATGTAGATAGCTAGGGGTAGTGTTATCCATGATTTAAATAGCCTTTGCTATGCTTTTCTCTGCTTTCCAAGATTTTTACATGGCATGTATTACTTAAATCAGAGGGAAAATATAAAAATGCAAAAACCAGTTTTACAGGTGTGGTTCTGGGGCCAGCCCGGTGGCG